TTGATCCAGAGTAGATTCCAATGTATAGTTAGCAGAGTAAAAACTTAAACACGTTGCAGGATTCCCCCAAAATAGACCAGAGGCAATTATATTTCATCCAGAAGAGCTTTACTGCTACTGAAGGCAAATGAACATAATGGTCACAAAGCCAATATATTCAGGATTGGCATTGTCCTTAAGAAATCCACTTGCAGCAGACTTAACTTGAACTTACAATAACTAAGCATACAATGTACAGAACACCACACCAGGAGGGAGAGAGATAGAAAGAGAAAGTGAAACCCGGGCTCCTTCTGGCCTATTTTTATAGTCAGCATGACCTTGACTGAAACAGATAACAGAACCTGTTTAAACCAGCTGTACTCAGCTTCTCTAAAAGAATAACCCAAACAACATGAACCTTCTGCTTGTTTCTTTCACACAAAGAAGCTTCCAGAAGCTTCCAGAACCCTCCTGAATTAATTAGAACAGGAAAGATCTCTACACATCAGATCAATACTTTCTGCACTAAGAAATGCAAACTGACACCCATCATCTCATCTTCTTTCAACAACTGGATGTCATGAACAGTTGTCTTTTATTTTTACAAGACTAAGTTCTAAGACATAAATCAAAATTAAATTAAATCATCATTAAACGAGGAGGGGGAGAACCATGTATGCCACCTTGAGCTCCTTGGGGAAAAGAAGGTGGGAAATAGACGCAATAAATACACATATGCACAGACATAATTATAGGCATATATCATTATTATATAATTATTGAAAGGGTCTTTTTAACCACTTGCAGGGAAAACAAAGAGCCTGTTAAAGTAGCTTTGTTTAATGATTTGTTCTATTGCATATTTTCTCTTGTGGTTTACCACTGCTATTTATATTCTGGCTTGTAAGCTACCTTTGAGTACACTTGCCATCTGTTGGCCTATTCACAAACAGAGCTCCTTCTTGCATTCTGCATCACAATGCCACAATACACTAACACCAGTTTTTGTTTTTTTTAAAAAAAGAATTGATCTATGCATCCTATTACCCTGCTGTGATTGATACATACATTTGCGATAAGTCTGCATGAAAATTTGTAAGCGCTTGTATGCAAATTTCTCCTGTTTTATATGCAAATAGGCCTGGTATATGCAATTGTCCCTTGACATAATGCATTTATGAATGCTATCTTCATGAATATGCACATTTTAATTGTACTTTTCACTAACGTGCACCTTTTTGCATACTTTATTTGGTTGGGCGTCTTTATGAAATTACAAAATTCAGATAAATGTTGGGCAGCTGCTAAACTGAGGCCCGTAGTAGTTCAGCAGCAAATTTCAGCTAAAAATGTTGCATCTCAGTTTGTCCACTAGTTCCAAAATGTTGTGTCTCAGTTTGTCCACTAGTTCCAAAAGCACAAATTTGGTAGGTTTACATTAAGATAGAAAGTGGACAAATTTCCCCCATATCCCTAATCAGAAGTGGTGATTTATTTGGGTGCGTGGCAGCTCTGATACATCACTGAACCTCACAAAACTGCAGCAAACACCTTTCCCCTAAACCAGTAGCTATAACTGACATCTCTCTTTTCCAATCCCTGCCTTTTTAGGAAGTGATAGCAAAGTTTGACAGCTAATCAGGATTTAAAGACACCAGAGGAGGAGGAAAGCACTGAAGAGTGTCTGGCACTTCCTGTTTCTGTAGTGACCGTTCTTAGCTTAATAGCTGCAGGACTTCCTGCAGGTTCTACGCCTCCAGACCTCAGTGGCTCAGCTTGTCGCAAAAACGTTTTGTACTTCCCACTTCCAGAATGATCAATAACGCTACGCAGACTCTTTTTTAGCACTTTTACTTCAAGCTTTCTCATGCAGCTTGAAGTTCTGAGGTGACCTAGAAAAAGGCAGGACGGATGAGCAATACCTTCCCCCCCCCATCCGCACCTTTTAAAATAATGCTTTTAGGGCAGGAGGGAGATTCTCTGTGTTATTTAGCCAAACTAATTTGCTCGTAGCTTGCTTTCATTTCTGACAGTTAGTTGGCATTTTCTGGAGCGCATCTCCAAAGGTAATTGTTGTGCTTCGAGGGACCTTTCCTTGGCCCTCTTCATCTCATCACCTCAGGTGATGTGAAAAACAAAGAAGCAGCTTGCTGTTAAATAATAATTTTTAAGGGCATTTTTTTAAAAAAAGGATTCTCTTTAGGGTGGAAGGAAACAAAGCTTCACTGAGAATAGAGTATATGATTTTTTTTGTTCCACTGTAGGAAGAAAAACTACCTTCTCTGATGGGAAAGAAACAGATTATTCATTTTCAGTGGCAAGCAAATGATTAGAAGAATGGAATTTGGATGTTATGTGTGGAGGCCTTGTTCAATGAAGAAAGCACACATCATACACTTAAAACAAAGTTTGTCAAGCGTACTGGGAATTGTAGCTTTCCAAGGAGTAAAGTACAGTTCCCAGTGTTTGAGCTTTTTGCAGGTTGCTTTAAATCAGGCTTCCTCAAACTCGGGCCCCCAGATGTTTTGAGACTATAATTCCCATCACCCCTGACCACTGGTCCTGCTAGCTAGGGATCATGGGAGTTGTAGAGCAAAAACATCTGGAGGGCCAAGTTTGAGGAAGCCTGCTTTAAATGTATGGTGTGTGCATTATGGGTTAACCCATTTAGGACTGTACTATACAAGGTACGTAAGCACCACATACCACAATATGGTATGCTTATCTTATGGTATGATTATCTTCCATGTATCATTGCTTTGAAGATTCTAACGTTCCTTGTATATAGATATCAGATCAGATGGAAAACCTGAAGGTATGGCATGACAAGGATGATTGATTATTGCCAATATGCCAATTTAGGAACCGAATGGACTTTATCTCCTGACCATCCATTGGACTTTAATTTCTCTGGATATGTTCTGTTTGCATGGTGTGCTGGTCTATGAAATTACACTGTGTGAGATATTATATGTTGAATTGTTTTTGAAACTTCTCTTACATAGTCAAAAACAGCCTGTTATGTTGTATGTGTTGGTACCAGCATGTAAAAGCATCTGCAAGTAGCTCTAGAGAGAAATGAAACCCCGAAGAGTCACTTCCAGTCAATGTAGACCATGGATAGGCAATCTATGACCCTAGGGTCATTTGTGGACCTTAATCCCATTTCAAAAAGCAGCTACAAACTATCAATTCAGACCTTTGGCAAGAGTGATCTGTCCCTCACCCCATTGGCTGCTGGGTGGGGAGAGGGAGGGAGGGAGAGAGAGAGAAAGATGGGTTGCCACTTATACTGAAGTGATTGCAACTGATGAGCTATAAATGAACCAAAGAAAGTTCAGCTATGAAACCTTCTTTGGATTTCTGTGTGCTCATTCTTACTGGCAGAAGCTTAATTAAATAATAGCATCAATGCTTAAAGAATGTAATTAATGAGTGGCAACATCCAAGTGTACCCTAACACCCCATAAGAGAAGTAATACCACATTACCATGTGCAGAGTGGATTGCCAAGATAATATTAAATCCAGCTTCTGAGACAGTCTAAGTACACCAGTAATGCTTGACTCTCAGATGGTCCTTATCAGCAGCTGAACAGCAACAAAAACATCCAAAATGACTATCAAGAGATGGTAAGTGGCAAATGAGTGGCTCTTGGGCCATAAGAGTTTAAGATAGCTAGAACAATGGGCTATCCATTTCCGAAGTACAGCTCAAAACATGCTCTGTCATATGTGAAGAACTCCTTGTCCAAGAAAACCAACCAACCAGACAAAAGCCTTTCAAAAATGTCCACAGTTTCAATGCATTTAGTGACAGCCAGGCAATATGAGCCACCCACGAGTCCCATTGATTTAAGTGGGTGGTAAACATAACATTCTTCTATTGAAACTAGTGTTTGAATTGGCTGTCTTGTTCGCTCACTTGCAAAAACAAAGTCCCTCTGTGATTTTTAATAGCTCTCGAAGATCCACTTTAAGATGGTGGTTAACTGTTGCTGCTTTCATCCATCTGTCTTGGGAGACAATGGAGAAGTGCAGCTTTGAGGGTGAAGACAAACTGTTGGAAAGTTACAGCACCTGCTGTGGTTATAGAGACCAATATGGGAGAGATATGTTTTGTTGCAGTTGGGGCACACAAAGGTGTCTGGTCATGCTGCTGCAGATGCACCATGGCGTTTCTTCTCTGTGTGTTCCTCCCAGCAGTCATTCCTCCTCTGGACATTGCTGTGGATACACAACCTCACTGTCTGTCTCCAGGTACTACAGTGATCTGCAAGGAATTACCACATAGCAAGATTGATATTGCTAGCCTCCATGCCATGTTTGCAGACATCTTTGTAGTGCAGAGTTGGTCAGCCAACAGGCCTGGTGCCTGAAGCCAGCTCCCCATAGAGCACATCCTTGGGGATCCTGACATCTTCCATTCTGTGCACATGACCAAGCCAGTGTAGACGTCACTGAGACAGGAGTGAGAACATTCTGGGAATGTGGGCTTGGGAGAGCACACCTTTGTTTGAGACTCTGTCCTGCCATGTGATGCCCAAAATCTTCCTGACACATGTGGAAGACATTGACAGACCTTCCAATTATTCCAATTTTCCAGGGACAGTCCCGGATTTACAGAAACCATCCTGATTTCTGATTTGATCCAGGAACGTCCTGCTTTTCCTTATTCTATTTTCACTGGAGTAATGTTGGAGGGTGTGTGTTGAGGCTTTCAATAGTCAATGGTCAAAGATGATGGCAACTGTAGTCTAACAACTACGGAGGGTCACAGGTTCTCCACCCTTACCCTAGGGCAGTATCCACCTAAATCATAATCAAGAGTATGTGCTTGCTCTGTGTTTAATGATATATATCACCTCTATTTTTTCTGCTGCATATACCAACTTTTTCATCATTGGAATCGACTGATGAAATGATGGGCATTTTCAGTGTCACTCTCCGCCTTTCGTGATATTGATTGGCTTTTAGCATGTGGTCATAAAAACCATGTACCAATTTCAGAACAACCCTGATGGGAGAAGGAGGAAAACCCCAGATCTCTGTGGAAATAGATGTAAATGATCAAGGTCAAGAAAAGCATTAACCATGAAATGTAACCAACTCTCTCTGAAACATTTATATTTTAATTATGATTCTTCAAGAGTCAAGATTTTTATTTGCAGATAAATCTTGGGTGACTATAAGGATTGGAAATTTCAGCAGCACTCTGGTAAAAAGCAAGATATTTCTCCATGAATTTGTCTCTTGGCCTACTGGCATGAGCTCCAGAATTGACCTAAACCCAAATGAGTGTGGGATGTGATCAAACGTAGGTATTTCTGAACATCCAGAGCTTGCTAAACTAGTCCTAATGGGCTTTCAGAAAGGCTCACAACAAAAGTGATTGTGCATCACTACAGAAAATGCAGAATAAGGAAGGCCCTTGCAGGTGAGGGGTGCATAGCATTATAGGACAACATATTCCACAGTCAGATTGAGGAGATTATCTCCTATCTGCAGGATGAATTAGTATAATTCATTCTGCTACCTTATATCGTGCTGCACGTGTACAGATTCCAAGAAGGTGATTGTTCCTTTTCTAACCTTTACTCTTATACAGGAGATTCTGTGATAACGTCACAGAGGACATATGAAGAAAACAAAACAAAGGTCCAGGTATGTAGGATAAATGCAGTTCTCCATGAGTTGCGTATCAGAGTTCTGATCCAGAAGATGAAAACTGTTACCGTGTAAATAAGATACATTTGCTAGGCTTGTAATGTTGGCTGCCTTGAAAAGTTGCTGTAGCTCAGTGGTGGCCAAACTCGGCCCTCCAGCTGATTTGGGACTACAACTCCCATTATCCCTAGCTAACAGGACCAGTGGTCAGGAATGATGGGAATTGTAGTCCCAAAACAGCTGGATGGCCAAGTTTGGCCACCACTGCTAGCTGGAGGGGGCAGTTGCTGCTTCCCTCCCCAGCTGTGCCCCCCATATGTTTTTTATATTGTTACAAACCACTGCGATAAATCTTTATGATGTGACAGGACATCAATATTTTTTATAAATAAAATAATTCTAAAATAGTAGATCTCGAGGTGCAAAATATAGGATGCATCTTAATGCATATTCCAATAACTTCAGTTTGGGTAGTGAGCTCACCACGCCCAGTCACTACTGAGCCCATGTTTGAGAGTGTCTAATCTGAAAATGATTTCCGGCTCAGGAGCTGTTGTTGGCAGTGTCACACTGATTGACAAATCAGCCCTGCAGGGGGTGGACTAGATGACCCCCGGGGTCCCTTCCAACTCTACAATCCTATGATTCTAGGATATGTGAGGACCCTCTGCCAGAAAGCATTCAATGTGCTCATCTCTTGGTTGGAGAGGAGACAAATTCTTCATCTGCCTTAGTATCCTACCCTTCCTTTGAATTTAAGGACGCTTCTTGTGTCGTGTCCAATAATCCCCAGGGATAAATTTGAAATGAGATAGATAGATAGATAGATAGATAGATAGAGATATAGATAGATATAGATAGATAGATAGATAGATAGATAGATAGATAGATAGATAGACTGATAGATTGATAGAGTGATCTATGGCTATTTCTCTTCCAGTTATCCTGGAAGCAGCAGGTAGATAGAAGCACACAGGAAATTGAACTAACACTTTTATTTATTTATTTCATTCTGTTAAGATGATGGTTTTGCAGGACTAATTATTGAAATGTGGGGTAGAAAATAAAACTCCTCACAATGTGACAGGCTTCCTGATCTCAATGATTAATGCAAACTCACTTCTGGAAGAAGAGATGCAGCTGATGTTCTCCATTGTGTCTGTCTGCACATTCTATATTAATCTGTTGCATTACAATGAAGTGCTCTACTGATCAGTAACAAATTGGTATGACGACACTTCTTTTAATAGCTCTGTGGTTTTTGTAATCCTGCAAAATGAAATGGCAAAGAGTCAGTGCAAGCAGACAGGAGTATTAGCCGCAACATTGATTTATTCAGTAATAGAAAGAAACAGATCTTATTTTGAAGTCTGATTTGGACCTTAGAGTGAAAAGAGAGTTCAGCTCTCTTTGAAATGATGAGAGGAACACCTAAATGATTACCTTTGCAAGCATTCCCCCCCCCTGTAGTGTATCAAGGTATTTAGGTAGCTGAGGTCGATTATGTGTATATCCTTTCCCCAACCTTACTTAAAGCCACAATCACTTTATTACTCAATAACTGAAGGATTTTTCAATTAAAAAAAATCTTTGACAGTGATGTCACAGCAACATCATTTCTTCAGTTGAAGCAATTCCAATTAAATGATGTTATTATTTAAAAAATGTGCTGTTTCTTAATTCATTGATAGTTTCTTTCGTACATCCAGCTGATGCCAAAACATGTTCCTTCAGAAGAACAGTATTTATTCACTAGACAAGATGCTTTTTTAAAAAGGATTCTGAATATTGAAACATCTGTCTTTGTTACCAGAGTATGGCGGATCCTCCTTTAGAAAATCCAGAATCAAAATTAAGGAACAAAATGTCTGAGTCTCTCTCTCTCTCTCTCTCTCTCTCTCTCTCTCTCTCTCTCTCTCTCATACAGCCACAGGGAATCTCAGTAGGGAACAAGGCTACACTATGAGAGGAAGATGGGGTTAATCATTTATTTGCTTCCACATAAGAATAGCTCCCCCCCCCAACCACTTTATGTCCTAGGTGGAAAAAGGTCATAGGACCACAGGAAGCATACTCTCCAACATTTCTCCAATGAAAATAGGGCCTATCCAACAACAACATTTATATTTATACCCCATCCATTAGACTGGGTTGCCTCCAGCCACTCTGGGCGACTTCCAACATTTATTAAAACATAATAAAACAGTAAACATTTAAAAACTTCCCTAAATGGAGCTGCCTTCAGATGTCCTCTAAAGGTTGTATAGTTACTTATTTGCCTGGCTTACATAACTCCATACCCTCCAGCATTGTCTTAATGAAATGTGGAATATTCCAGGATCAAATCAGAAACTAGGATGGCTTCTGTAAATCCAGTACTGTCCCTAGAAAATAGGGTAAAGTTAGAGGGTCTGCTTTTAGCTTGGTATTGTCTATATTAGGGGTCAGCAAACGTTTTCAGCAGGGGGGCGTTCCACTGTCCTTCAGACCTTGTGGGGGGCCAGACTATATTTTGAAAAAAAAGAAAGAACGGTTTTCGCCCACCCGCAAAGAGGCCTGAAGATGCTTCGCTTTACCTGTCCCAGTTGTCGTCCCAATAGCCACAGCTGGGCTTCTCCAGCCAGCCAGGTGCCGTGGCAGGGTAGGAGGATGTGTTGGCCGGTGAAGACAGAAGCAGTAGCCCTGGCGGAGGAGCCATGGATGGAGGTAGGGGAACTGGGGGGTCGCCGGAGCTTTTACTCACCACCTGCTGCTGCTGCTTCCTGAGAGGCACTGCGGAGAAGAAGACAGAGCCGCCCGCCAACCCGCAAGTGGCTGCCGCGGCCGGCGCAACAACCCGCCAGAACGCCATGGGAGGAACGAAGGAAGGAGGGAGGCAGGCAGGCAGCAACGAAGGAAGTGTGCAAGGAAGCGGTGCAGGAAACAGGCACAGAGAAGGAAGGAAGGGCAGACTGAGGGAGAGGGAGGAGGAACAGGAAGAAAATGCAGCAGCAGTTGGCAGCCGATGTCACATGCCCCCTTCACAGTGCTGCCCTGCTGAGGCGGGCAGGCGGGCGAGCCAACTCCCACCGTCAACATAGCCTGGCGTCGGACAAGATTGGTCCGTCCCTGAGGAGAAAAGCGCTGCCATGTGAGGGAGAGGGAGAGAGAAAAAAAAGACGCACTGGTGATCCAAGCAATGGCGATCCACGCAGCAATTCCTGGACCATCCACAGGCCTGATCTAGAAGGCAATTGGGCCTCATCCAGCCCGTGGATCTTAGTTTGCTGACCCATGGTCTATATACTAACTGGCAGTGGTTTTCCACGATTTTGAGCAGGGTTTTCTGGCAGCCATACTTTAAAATCCCATCAAAATAAAAGTTTCTCCCTCCTCCCTCCACTCAAAGAACTTTAGCCAAAGTCACGCAAAAAAGCAGCCCAATGATTTTTAACCAGGCAGAACCTCCCAGCACTGTGGAACTGACACAGAGAAGGCTCCGTCTCTCGTGCTCATGTCTCAAATCTCTAAAGATGGTACTGAGAGCAAAGCTGCTAATTTGCAGACACTGGTCTTCAGTCGAAATGGTAGAGCTCAGATCCAATTTTATTGTGTCAGCAAGACCTAGGAGCAGGCAGTAAGAGGCCCTGCAAACTTTCCCGGTGAAAAGCTATCATGGCCCAGCTTTCTGCCACCTTTGCAAATGTTAAGCAGAACTGAAGCACTAAGCTCTTAAGACTAGCACAAAAGGCACATCATGTGGGGACGTTGACTGCAGTTCATTTTGTTATCTCTGCTGTGCTTTATGATCACATTAGTCTTGATCAGCTTTCAGGACAGTGGCACTTGCTTAACTGTAGCTGCAAAGTCATTAGTGCATATGAAATGGATTTAAGGTTTCAGGAAAGCTCGAACGATAGCATTCCAAGGGCAAAAATGTAATTTCCTCCCAAACGTCTGCTCATTTCCTCTGCCATTGTGCATTGCATGAAACAATACAGGATTCGACGCCGATACTGTGCTTTGCAAGCGTAGGAGGATCTCAAAATTGATCATATCAGAGTGTGACAAACAATTCATGAGTCATGACTCTGGTCAGATATGCACCAGAAACCGTACAAAAAACCCTCACAAATACAACAAAATCACAAGCACAGGGCGGAGGGGAGCTAGAAACACAGCTTGCACTCCTTTTAACTTTTAGATAGTTGCATTTTCAGTCCGGTTCAAATAAGAATTATAGAGAGAAAGCATCACTAAAAATCGCTCGGAGCAAATGATTTTTTAAAAAAACAGTCATAATAAGCAATTTCATTTACTAAAGGCACACTTGGGAATGCCACAGAAGCAGCTCGACATATTGTCCAGTTCTCTGAATTGCTGCTGCTAATCGAAGCTACAATACACAATACAAAAGCATTTATTTGCTTCTAAAAGTTCTCGACGTGCCACAAATTACTATTTTGCCGATTTCCTTTCTCTCCCTTCCCTGCCTTGTACCCAGATATTTCACTGACCACATGAACGCTGCGCTTGCCAACTCACTTTTAAAATTATTAATCTGAAGATTGGGGTGCGGACTTTGTACAGACATAGCTCAGCTGCTTGAGGATAAATATCAGCTACAAACAAACTAGATGGTATCTGCTGGAAATCAGATGTCCCTGTGTTAAGAAAAGCTATTCAAAATCAGGCTGTTGCCTTTTCTGCCATTAGTAAAGCTCACCAATCTTCTTCTTCTTTGGCGATCACTTTTAGCCGAGTAAGATTGTCTTCCACGAACATGATATTAACAGTGAGTTTGTAAGTGACTGTGGAGGCCAATTCTGGATCCACACGTCTTTCCACAGTGGGGACATAGGTTTCTGGGTGGGAGTTGATCACAGTGAGGGTTTACCAAATGTGCTTTCTTCTTAGCACGTTTCTCCCTTTCGTCCCAAGTTCGAGCGTCTTCAAAGCCCATGACACCTTTGGTAAAGGCTGTTCTCCAATTGGAGCACTCACAGGCCAGTGTTTCCCAGTTGTTGGTGTTTATACTATATTTTTCTAGATTTCCTTGAGAGAGTCTTTAAACCTCTTTTGTTGATGCTTTCTATTTTTAAGTTTGGAATAAATTATAGTCCCCCCAAAAGAGGTCATCTTATACATGGGGTCTTATAGATAGAAAAGTACGGTAATTTTGTCACTACCACCACCGTGATGACACCCGGGGTGGACCGCGCCCCCTTCATCTGCCCCTGGCAGGGAGCCAGGCGCCTGCTGATATCTCTGTTTTCTTTTCGTGGAAGGAGCCTTTCCCCAACGTTTACCTTATTCTGGCCAAATCCCTGGAGAGACGTGACAAACCTCCGGCACTGGGACATGGGGAAATACCTTTTGGGAGTCGTAGGAACACTTTCCCCACCTGCGGCTTCTCACAACTTCTTTCAGAAACATTGCTCCCCCAAACCGAGGAGGCTGAGCGTAGCCATCACGGCTAGTTGCCTTGGATAGGCCTCTAAATGTTTGGTGCGGCTGAGGCAGCTGAATGTGCGTCTGAGCTGACGTTCTGTCTGTAGGTTTTGGCCAGTCACAGCCCATTCCCTGCTTCGTCCACAGGGCCACGACTCCAGGGATCAGGCTCCAGCTCCAGTTCCCAGGATGAAGAATCAGAGGGCATCCCAGCGGTTCCCAGCTGCCACCCCTCACGCCTCTTCCCCACTGCCCCTTATCCATGCAGGAAATCTGTGCACTAGAGAACATTTTAAACAAAAGCGAAACTCCATCATCCGTGGCATCCCAGTCTTGCCTTTCTGGATTGTATTGTCCTTCTAAGTCACTGGAGGAATTCCACGCTGCTCAGTGCCTTGCATGTCTTCTGGGATGTTCCGCTTGCCAGTCCCTGAAAAGAGGAGAACAGCGTCACTGGCATATGTTAAAACTCAATATAGAAATTGGAGGAACTGGTTGCTTTTGATATTCCAAGGATTACTAATTAATATTTCTTAATAAACATTCTTAAAATGAAAAAAACAGTTTTCTTTCCTTCTCTGACTGCTGCTGGGAGATCTGCTTCAGAAGGCTAAAGCCAGCTGGATGTGTGTCGGCTTTCAGGGAGCAAGACATTGGAAGTGTTGGACCAACCAGGGGGGCGGGGGGGCGGGAGAGCATGGACATGTGAGGCATCTTTCCATGAGGATTTTCTATGAAGTCCATGTCCATGACATTGGCTGTAGCCCCCAATTTCTTTCTTTCATAGCCTAGGCCTCAACTGCCTCCCCACTCCAACATCCAAACTCCCTTTCAAAGCCTCCTCCAATCTTCTCTCTCCACCAGAATTCCATGTTCTCTCTTCCCCCCTCCCTCCCTGCTTAACGTTCCCTTTGGAATTCTAATAGAATTACCTTAGTTACAACAACAACAACAACAACAACAACAACAATTTATTATTTATACCCCGCCCATCTGGCTGGGCTTCCCCAGCCACTCTGTGCGGCTTCCAACAAAATATTAAAATGCAGTAATGCATCAAACATTAAAAGCTTCCCTAAACAGGGCTGCCTTCAGATGTCTTCTAAAAGTCTGGTAGTTGTTGTTCTGTTTGACATCTGGTGGGAGGACGTTCCACAGGGCGTGTGCCACTACCAAGAAGGCCCTCTGCCTGGTTCCCTGTAACTTGGCTTCTCACAGCCAGGGAACCGCCAGAAGGCCTTTGGCAATGGACCTCAGTGTCTGGGTAGAACGATGGAGGTGGAAACGCTCTTTCAGATACACTGGACCGAGGCTGTTTAGGGCTTTAAAGGTCAGCACCAACACTTTGAATTGTGCTCAGAAATGAAATATTACACACAATATTGTTATTGATTGAGGGAGGATCCCACCAAACCTTAGAAATTAATAGATGCTAGGATTTGGGATTAGTTGGGTTTTGAAGGGAGAAATACAAGCTGCAGAGGAATTTCTGGGCTTGCCTATACAGAAGGACCTGGCCAAGTGAGGGCCATTAAGAAACAATTCAAGGACAAGGAGAGCCTAACTGGAAATGCCAGAGAACTCCTTCTCCCTTGCCCTGTGGTGTGAACAGAGATGGGATTTGAAAGGGGGCCAGGATAACTGGGTGAGAAGCGGCAGGAAAAGAGAGGTTTTGAGCAAGGGGTGCTGGGAAGAAGGAGAAGGAGAAGGAGAAGATGAAAGAGAGTCTGGAATCCAACTTGGGAAGGCTGGCTGCCCTGCTGTGGGGGACAAGTCCCTCTCGAAAGGACTCTGCTGTAAGATCTGGACTCTCCCCACACAGTCTGAAGGTGTAAAGTGAATAAACTGTATTTCTGAAAGGTACGACAGCCTCTGCCAAGTCTCAATTCTCCAGAGGTGAGAGCCTGGAACCCCATGGGGTCTTGCCATAGCTCAGCAGAGAGAGGGGAGGCACCCAACTTTTGGAACAATCTTTTATACACCCTGCTCCCTGAAAGCACCCTGTTAGAAGCATTTGAGCTTCCCATTCCTGGTTCCTAGGAAATCGGAGAAGCTCCTCATTCCTGTTCTAAAAAGCAGGTGTCTTCCCCTAAACGATCCAGGGAATTGTAGGTCTGTGAGAAGGAAGCACTTTAAATCATAGGATGATAGAATTGTAGAGTTGGGAGGGACCCGAGGGTCATCTAGTCCAACCCCTGCAATGATTGCAACTGTTTTATTGATATGCTATTACTGATGTGCTATTATGTTTTATTATGTTATGGTTATTTATAGGTTGTAAGCTGCTTTGAGATTCATTTGAATGAAAAGCGGCATAGAAATACAACCAACCAACCAACCAATCAATGCAGGAATCTCAGCTAAAGCATCCATAGCTGATGGCCACCCAACCTCTGCAGAAAAACCTCCAAGGAAGGAGAGTCTACCACCTTCTGAGGGATTTCCTCCCACAGTCAAACAGCTCTTGCTGTCAGAACGTTCTTCCTGAAGTTGAGTCGGAATCTCCTTTCTTGTACCTGAAAGCCGTGGCTTCAGGTCTTGAGGGCCTCTGGAGCAGGAGAAAACAAGCTTCCTCTCTCCTCCCTGTGACGGCCCTTGAGATTTTGACAGGGCTGCATGGTGTGGCTCTCATATCAATGTCCTGAGGGTCAGAGAGCAAAACGTTTCTCTCTCCCTTTCTCTACCCCATGCAGAATTGCAAGGGGTCAGTGCATCTGGCTGGTAAGAAGGAGGTCAGGATTTGGAGCCCAGCCAGGGCTGGCTGTGGGCAGGATCCTGGCATTGCCAGGGGCTGGACTAGAAGAATTTGGATTTGATATCCTGCCTTGGGATCCCTTCCAACTCTACCATGCTATGATTCTATCGAGGAGCTAAAGGAACGGGCGGGGGAGCTAGATGCAGAACAAGGGGAGACACAACCACACACCCCAACAGCACCCTTTGGCCTGACCCATGGTGGCCTCATCCCAACAATTTAATCCCTCTGATTTTATTTTTCTTAATTCAGCTGCCTGGCAACCCAGCAGCCTGGCCTTTGTTCGTCATCTGATGTCACAAAGTGCCACTTTGCAAGCAAGCCTTATATTACCCTGCAAGAGGGATGCTGTCAGATGATGCTGAGATCCTTGCCAAGATCCTTGCCCATCACTGATCATGAATAGGAGCTGTGAAGGTAGGAGGAGCACAAGGCCAGAGGAGAGGAGTGGCATAGAATTATTATTATTATTATTATCATCATCATCATCATCATCATCATCATCACCCATCACTGGCGCATGTGGCTTGGCTCCCTGGCTTGGCTTGTTGACAGCTGTTGTTGACAGCTGTAGATAGCTTGCCAGGTCCCTGCCTCCAAGCAATGCAGCTCTGTGGACTTAGCCCCTTTTCATGCTGCAGGGGCCCCCAATGGATAATGTGTACACAGCCTTTGGTTTTAAGGAAAAGGCTTCTAGCGGGCTTCAGCTTGCACGGGGCAGGAGCGCAGTGAGATTTATTCTGTCTTATTTGTTTGCACCATCGCTGCGTGTGACCCTTGAGAAAGAGGTTCATGCCCCGAGGGGTTTACAATCTTTAGTTTGACACAGGGAGGGAACAGGGAAAGGTTGAGGTCCAGGATGGATCCTAAGTCCTCCCATGAGGCATGTCAGGGTCTGTGAGTTTAGATTTTGGGATTCCCGGACATTTCCCATCTGTAACCTCTTCCTCTGTTTTTGCAATATGGTAATGAAGGTGATTCTATTAGAATTCCCAAGTGAATGTCAAGCAGGGAGGGAGGGGGAAAGAGAGAGAGTGGAATTCTGGTAGAGACAGAAGTTGGAGGAGCCTTGGAAAGGGAGCGTGAATGTTGGGGGAGGCAGTTGAGAGTCGGTTGAGAGTGGTGGAGTCTAGAAGGGGGGCACTTGGTGGGGGACCTGAAGCTGGGCTGGGCAGCTCTTTGGGATCAGTAGTCCAGTAATAGGATCAAGTGTGCCCATCAGTGCCCATGAGAAGGAACTCTGAAGGTAGGAGGAGCTCCAAGGCCCAGAGGAGATGAGTGGCATAGAAATACTGTTGTTGTTGTTAATAATAATAATAATGTTGTTTAGTCGTTTCTGACTCTTCGTGACCCCATGGACCAGAGCACGCCAGGCACTCCTGTCTTCATTAATAATAATAATAGCATCACCTGTCACTGGTGCATGTGGCTTGGCTCCCTGGCTTGACTTGTCCACAGATGTTGTCAGCTTGGTAAGTCCTCAGCTGTGGTCCCCAGATTATATTTACTGTTGTGAATAACTGGTTGGTTACAAGTGCCCCCCACCCTCCTGCCCCAGACTGGTGCTAGCATGGCTGGGAGCCAGGCACCTGCTGATGTCTTCATTTTCTTTGCAGGAAGGGAGCCTTCCCCCAACATATATTTTGTTCTGGCCAAATCCCTGGAAAGACGTGGTGACTCTCAGGTAGTGGGGCAGAGGGAAGGAAGGGGTCCTTCTGAAACAGCTTTTGGAGGGTCATAGGAACCCTGTCCCCACCTGTGGCTTCCAGCAAGTGCTTTTCAGAAGCATTGCTCTGGAAGCTGAGCATAGCCATCACTGCTACTTGCCTTGGATGGGCCTCTCCTCCATGAGATTGTCTCACCCTCTTTGAAAGCCACCTCATCCAATATGCTCTTGTGGGGCATCTGATTCTCCTAGGCTTCCATATTCCTGCAAGGAGGCAGATCTTGCAAAATCAGCAGTGGGATCTTGTTCTCTCACCTTACAAAGTTCCACCTGGTTCGCTATTGCATATGTACATCATTCCTTGACAATTACATAAAGCCTGCAACATTGGAGCATCTCACTTATGTGCATTTAGCTTTATGTTCTTGGCCAAAAAACCCAAAGAATCAAAAAGAGGACAGAAAGCAGGCAGGTGTCCAAGAAAAAAGACTTTGGCTATCCCACCCAGCTCTGAACCCCATGTGTTTTGCCCATACAGTCTTACCTCAGGGTGAAGTAGCTTCGGGATAAATATTTTGGGGGTTGCTCGCTGCGGTGACCTGGAAGTAACGGAGTGCGTTAGTTTCAGGTTTTGCCATGTGCACATGCACAGATGGTCAAAATGATGTCACGTGCATGTGCAGAAGCAGCGAATCGCGACCGGCACATGTGCAGATGAGCGGACGCAAGTTGCATTCGCTTCTGGATGCGAACAGGGCTCCGGAACGGATCCCGTCCACATCCAGAGGTACCACTGTACGTGATTCTGGTTGGAGGCACGATCCCCAGAACATAATCCCCATGAAAGTGGCAGGCTTCCTGTTGAGAGCATCTACCACACCGGACATTTCAAGGCCTTTTCTACCATTTTCACAGTCTTGGCTTCCACCTAATTCAGCCTAAGTTATACTTAGTGTAGGTCCATTGAAACTAATGGTCCTTACTTAGTCAAGTTCATTAATTTTAATAGGTTTACTGTTGGTAAAATTTAGTTGACTTCTATCTCAACATTTCTAACCGCAGATAAACAGTCTACTTTTGATTTTTTACCCACGAAGCACTCATTTCCCATACTTTTACCAGAAAATAGATAGTAAATCTTCTTTATTGCTTAAAAAAAAAGAACACCACTATTTAACTTAGATTTGCTTCTAGCAATCCTTAATTACATTCTTATCATTTCAAATTAATCTGGTAGCGTTTGCTATGTGTCTAAGAGATTCCTTCAATAACCTTTCCCTATGACTAAAGGGGTTGGGAAAATAGAATATAATCAGATTGATTTACTTTGAAGGCTTACAAAAACTTGTGCAGAACTCTAGCCTAACCAGCTATAAAACCAGACAGACTAAGATAATTTTTATGATCAGTCAGCTATGGTTTAAATTATGTATTTGTCAAGTGACAGTGATAGAAAATTTGCATGTGCTTAAATAAATGAACATATGCAAATAAATGGTGGTGGTCAACTGTTCTTTCCAAAAGAAATAGAAGCCTAGACTCAAAGAGAAGAGATCTCTCAATACATGGCCCAACGAGGGTGTGGCTCTTCTGATCATTGTTTTTCTGAGAGCTATTACATTTATGCTAATAATAAACATATGGTAAACAGGACAGGCTCTGAAATCATGTCTAGAATCCAGTTCTGCCATCAACAGAAAGACAATGCAGTATGTGATATAACACACCATTTTATCTCTCCCACGAAAGCCTGTTCAAATGAACTGGATATTTGTGGACCCATAGGCTTGCCATATGTCAGGAATATTCCTGACATGTTCTGGTTTTTGGGTTTAAAATGAATGAATGAATGAATCTTTATTTGCGTCAGCCATCGGCCATAGCAATAAAACAACAATACGATGTACAAAGAGTAGAACTAAAAAGTCAATTATATAAATTACATTTTAGGGTTTTGAATCAATAGTGAAATGGTGGATCTTATTCTGATTGCCCCAGCTAAAAACCTTGCACCCTTTGCTGTCACCTGCTCATCTTGATCTGCCAAGAGAAAGGACACTGTGGCAGTGGTTGGGCGACCCAGAATGGACAATAAAAGGGGGGGTGATAATCTCAATCCTCAAGTCTTTATAAAGAGTGCAAGCCAGAAAGGCATGCGCCACCAATTCAGTACTATCATCTCCACAGGGACATAAGCGTTTTTCGTGTGGAACCTGTTGGAATCGGGTGCAAAAATGATGTCGGGGGGGATTTTGCCGAATTGGCAAAATGTCAGGGAAAACCCGGATGTATGACAACGTAATGGAAAGCTCCAAAAGCTTAAACTCACTATTTTGGGTTTGTTCCCCCAAAAAAACTCAACAAATTTTGGTGGGTTTCTAAAAAAAAAAAGCTGATGTCAGGAACTTTACTTTTTGAAATATGGTGACCCTATGGATCTATTATGTATGCAAAGCTATGTTAAATTCCATCATGCTCTGAGAATGCTATGGGTACTGGACAAAGAAGTAACCATATATGCAGCATATAGTAAGTTCTTGTAAGTAGCCACTCACTTTGCTTTTTCCAGTACAATGAGCTACAGATTCAATTCTCCTATGACTACACATGTCTATTTCCTTGGAGCCCTGTGTTTAGGAAAGTCAACTGCAAACAACTTGGAACTGAATTTGTGTATTTCATATTGGGGTGTAACTGCTATCATAAGCACTCTTAGATTTTGTTTACAAAGGAATTTTGTGCATATGTAGTAGGGCTGCAAATGGGGCCCGAGATTTGCCCTGCACTTGCCCTGTTTTTTGTTTTTAAAAAAGTCAGATTGGTTTCTGAGTCGCTCTCTGCCCTGTGTTATTTTTCTGTGATTTGACTACTGAAGCATTCTGTGTACAACAAAGCTCTGACCCAATCACTCTTATTTGTAATATTTCCCCTTTTGGGGCAGAAGCAGATGAAATTTGCAGGCACAAAGCCCTTCCAGAGTGTGTTAAAATTGCAGGCCCAGGGGCTTTTGTGGAGGAAGTAAAACAAATTCACTTTCCTCCATCATCCATATTAGGACAATACTTTTATCAGGCCAACAAAAACTTCAAAATCCATACTTTTTAAATATTTTTGAAGGAAGAATAAGAGTTCATCTCTTACTGTAAAACAATTAAGTGATGTGTATTCTTGCTTGTACATTGAGAAAAAGAAATAGCAACTTCAGGTTAGCCAGTATAGATATCTAGTGCTTGCTTTGTTGAGAGAGAATATTCTCCATTTGGCATTACAGGGTGAGACTGTGCTTAATGCTGCCTGTGAAGATTTGAATTCATTTAAAGTAGCTAGGTGTTCCCTTACTGCTTTTCCTGTATTGGGCTACATCTTCTTTCTTGCATTGTTTATTCCATTGTCACTAGGTTGGGCACTTCTTTCATTTTGAATAAAGACAGAGGCAAAGCAGGTGTTGAGCATTTCCACCTTTTCTCTGTCACCCAAGAGCATTTCTCTGTCTTCCCCACGCTGAGGACTTAGTACTTGCTTGTTCTTCCTCTTGCTTTGAGCATAATCGAGGAAACCTTTTATATTATTTTTAACTTCTCTTGCAAGCCTGAGATCATTCTGAGCCCACCTGACTGCCCCTCCTGCAGCTGTTGACTACTTCATGATTTCCCCTTACTTTCATTCCTTATACATGTCCTACCTAAAGTTTAGCTTTAAGGGGGCTTTGGCTACTGAGCTGTAACTTAGGAGGGGGGAGATATCCTCAAATACCCTTTTATTCAGCCCCAAAACAGAGGCAATGCACACTTCTAGTGGATTCTTCCTGCCTACAGCTTCTCAAATTAGCAGCACATCATTCGGAAGGATAAGAAAAACCTCCTGTCCCTTTACTGAGTTTCTTTAATCCATGAGAGACTTTCCTTAATTCAGAGAATGTGTTTTTGCTCACCTTCCTGTTCCATTCCATGTCTCATCCCATAGGAAACTTTTCAGTATTTGACTCCTGTGAATAGTTATGTTATCAGCCCTAGCAATTCAAGCAGGTAATCTAATAAGCACAGATGTTGCCATGTGAAATCAGTTTTTACCTACCTCGACCAGATGTAATGTATTCATTAGTGCCTTTGGGTAATGTAATATTGATTTTTTTTTGGTAGTATAGACTATGAACTTCAAACTTGGAGTTTCTTAACATTAAAATACAAAATTAATTTAGCTAAGGCACAGGTGATTACATTGTACCATTAAGAATGCAGTTAAATCACATATTTATTGTTGCTTGACTTCCTCTTTTTTCTTCTTTTTATTACCCAAGTCTCCAATATTAAATCATGGCGGTGAATGGTTTTACTGACATGGCATTCATTGGCACCGCTTTCAGATCTAAAGAAACTGCAAGTTAACAACTGCTAAAAATAAGTTAGTCCTACTTACAATGCCATGGACTTGAGAGGTCCTTATTACTTTCATACTGGTTTAGAGGTTGATGTTGTTTTTCCTGATAGGCAGAAATTCAGGTTGTTGTTTTTGCTTCCATTAAGCTAAATGGTGGAGGCCTTAGCTTTGAATTTCTTCCTCGCCATATAACTCTTAAAGGCATAGGAAGCCTGCCAAACAAAAGATGGCAACTTTCATCTATTAACCAGCTAGTGAAGAATGGGAAACAAATGTAAAATAAAATAATAACGATGTGTTCTTATACATGCTGCCCAAAACACAATATCCTGTCTCAGGCAGCCAGTGTGGTGTAGCTGGACCTGGAAGAACAGGATTCAAATCCCCACTCAGCCATAAAAGTCATTGGGTGACCTTGGGCCAGTCAATCACTCTTAACCTAACGTCTCTCACAGGGTTGCTGTCATGGGGATTAAATGAGGAAGGAGGAGAACTATATAAGGCATCATGAGTTAACTGAAGAAATAGATAAATGATCAGTCCGCTACTCACTTGGAAATAAGCCCCATTGAATCCAGCAGTTACTTTTCTCAGAAGCAAGCGGCCAGGAAAAACCCTGCCAGTCTTGGTATTTTGCCAGCACCAGTTGCAGCGAACCTCTTGGGAGTAGGAGAGGCTAAGACATTTGTGGCCAATTCACTACAGTGTTACCTCGGGTTACATATGCTTCAGGTTACAGACTCCGCTAACCCAGAAATAGTACCTTGGGTTAAGAACTTTGCTTCAGGTAAAGGTAAAGGTACCCCTGCCCGTACGGGCCAGTCTTGCCAGACTCTAGGGTTGTGCGCTCATCTCACTCTATAGGCCGGGAGCGAGCGCTGTCCGCAGACACTTCCGGGTCACATGGCCAGTGTGACAAGCTGCATCTGGCGAGCCAGCGCAGCACACGGAAATGCCGTTTACCTTCCCACTAGTAAGCGGTCCCTATTTATCTACTTGCACCCGGGGGTGCTTTCGAACTGCTAGGTTGGCAGGCGCTGGGACCGAACGACGGGAGCGCACCCCGCCGCGGGGATTCGAACCGCCGACCATGCGATCGGCAAGTCCTAGGCGCTGAGGTTTTACCCACAGCGCCACCCGCGTCCCTTGAGAACAGAAATCGTGCTCCAGCGGTGCGGTGGCAGCGGGAGGCCCCATTAGCTAAAGCGGTGCTTCAGGTTAAGAACAGTTTCAGGTTAAGAACGGACCTCCAGAACGAATTAAGTACTTAACCTGAGGTACCACTGTATTTCCATCACATTGCTCTTTAAGAGCAGAATCACTGTAGGACCAGGGTGATACCCTTTAGTGTACAATAGGTCTCATTATTAGATTGCTCTGAGGGCTGTTCCTAGATGGTCATCTCAGATAGCTCAGTCAGTAGAGCATGAGGCTCTTAATCTCAGGGCCATGGGTTCAAACCCCACCTTGGGCAAAATATTCATGCTTTGCAAGGGGTTGGGTTAGATTACTTTTGTGGTCTCTTCCACCTCTACAATTCTATAGCTGAGAAATGGCTGGGTTGACTCCAAGTGCTCCTATTTTCCAGCCCATCCCAACTTCTGATTTGATCGCTGAATGTCCCACTTTTCCTTAAAGGTAAAGGTAAAGGGACCCCTGACCATTAGGTCCAGTCGTGACCGACTCTGGGGTTGCGGTGCTCATCTCGCTTTATTGGCTGAGGGAGCCGGTGTACAGCTTCCGGGTCATGTGGCCAGCATGACAAAGCCACTTCTGGTGAACCAGAGCAGTGCAGGGAAATTTCGTTTACCTACCCGCCGGAGCGGTACCTATTTATCTACTTGCACTTTGACATGCTTTCAAACTGCTAGGTTGGCAGGAGCAGGGACTGAGCAACGGGAGCTCACCCCGTCGCGGGGATTCGAACCTCCGACCTTCTGATTGGCAAGTCCTAGGTTCTGTGGTTTAACCCACAGCGCCACCCGACATCCCTATTTTCACTGGAGAAATGTTGGAGGCTATGGAGTTATCCAACCCCCCGAGCCATCTGTAGGCAATCTGTATAGGGAGTTTTTTTAAACAAACAAACAAACAAACAAACAAACAAACAAACAAACAATGTTTTATTGTGTTCTTATATATGTTGGAAGCTGCCCAGAGTGGCTGGGCCAACCCAGTAAGATGTATGGGGTATAAATAGCAAAATTACCATTGTGGAATGGGACATCCCTATTTTCATTGGAGTGACTGGCTATGGCAGGGGTGGGGAACTTCAAGCCTACAGGCCTAATGAGCCCCATCAGGCCTTTCTATTTGGCTTAAGAGGCCATTTCAGCCAAGCTTTCGCCACCTGCCCTGCACCTGATAAGTGCTGTATGATGCTAGATGCAGCGCAGATAAAGGCAGGGCTTGGGTGAAAGTTGCATTTCAGGTACCACCAATCAGTTGATGGGTAGTTCCTGCATCAACTTTTGAGCAGTGCGTCCCAGGCACCAACTACCAGTTGATTGTTTGCACTTCAGAAGTATACATGCACAGCTTTCACTGTGCTGAGAATCAGCTGGTTTTTGACACTGAGGAAGCCCTGTCCCCAGTGCTTCCCAAGCATCGATGATCAACTGAATTTGGGAACGCGGCATCCTTTTTAAATCATACTGTTGGATTTCAAACTAGATGACCAGAATTGGTCACGTGGCAACACCGCAGCAGCAGTAATAGATGGCCAACCCTGTATCCTGTGTGTGTTGAGATCTGGGAGTCTAGCACTCTCCAATGCAGGCATAGGCAAACTCGGCCCTCCAGATGTTTTGGGACTACAACTCCCATCATCCCTGACCACTGGTCCAGTTAGCTAGCGATGATGGGAGTTGTAGTCCCAAAACATCTGGAGGGCCGAATTTGCCTATGCTTGCTCCAGTGCTTTTGGGGAAGCTAAATTTCAAGTGGCTTTTAGATATGCAATGAAATTCAGCTGCTGAGATTTTCTATTGCCTTTTTTTTGGTTTGGATGATGTATTGTGTTTTATAAACTTTTCTTTTTAATTCAGAAGTTTCAAGAGGTTATTTCATTCTATAGCGAGTGGCATGTTCTTATTTTAATGTGTAAACTGCCTTGGAGGATTTTTAATTCACAAAGGTGGCATGAAAAGTTTTAAAATAAATAAAAGCGCAACAAATAGAAGGATAGATAAATATAACACATTACGGGAGACAATTAAATGAAATAAAGCACACTGCAACAGCAGCAGCGTATAAACCAGATGGCAGGCAAGTTGGGTCCAGATTCACTGACAGCCTGTCTAATTGAAATGGACATATGGATGGGAGAGAAAGGAAATAAGGAACTGACAGGTATGGTCAGGGACCAACACTGTAGCCTCACAAAGCCCTGGAAAGCTAGTCAGCTGGCAAGTTTGTCCTAAAGCCTAACGTGCAATGACGCATTCCATTTCCCCATGTTAGAAACAGCATTTGCTGCCCTAAACCATTTCAACAGACTAGGGGTTGTATCCAGTGAGGGCACAGAGGGTGCTGCAGGCAAAAGGAGAGGAGAATTCCATTGTGCAAGTAGAGTCTGTTGCACAAATGGAACAGCAGTGTTGAATACAACTGTAGGGCTGCAATTGAATAACCCCAAATTTCATTGGATTGAGCACAATTTAGTTCTAAGTAAACATGGATGGCATAGGAAATGCAGAATTGCAATCCCAGTGCCATTTTCTAGGAAATTAGTCCTGTTTAACTCAACAGTGTTTACTTCTGAGTCAACATGCATAGATTATTTGACATCAGGGCCCCTCCTGTAAATATTCTGTCATCAATCTGTCTGTGGGAGGAACTGTGAGTTTTTGTGATAAACCAGACATCTTATGCAAGACTTGAAGATAAATCTCTACTTGTCAGGTTGGTAATGGCTGAACAAGAAGCAAGCTCTTGGGCTTGCTGATTGGAAGGTTGGCGGTTCGAATCCTTGCAACAGGGTGAGCTCCCATTGCTCTGTCCCAGCTTCTGCCCACCTAGCAGTTCAAAAGCACACCAGCGCAAGTAGATAAATAGGTACCGCTGCGACAGGAAGGTAAATGCCATTTCTGTGTGCTCTGGTTTCTGTCATGGTCCTCCGTGCACCAGAAGCGGTTTAGTCACGCTGGCCACAGGAACCAAAAAGCTGTCTGTGGACAAACGCTGGCTCCCTTGGCCTGACGCAAGATGAGCGCCACAACCCCCATAGTTGCCTTTGACTGGACTTAACAGTCCAGGGGTCCTTTACCTTTCTAAACAGTCCAGGAGTCCTTTACCTTTCTAAACACCTTTTTAAATGCCCCCCCGCTTGAGCCCAAGAGAGGGTTTAGTCCTTTTGCTTTCAAAACTCCTTCATAACAGTACATAAGTTATTAATCCATAGCTTGGCTGTCCTCACAAACTCCTCCAGACCGTGCCTGGAGTCACCATGCTCCCATGTTCTCAGTCAAAGAATCAACTAACAGAATAGCCAGTCAACTCCTTTCCCCATTACTGAGTATTCTTTGTGAAATACATTTACAATGCAAATATTAATAGGAACCTCCCCAGCATGGAGGTACTTTTCTCCTAGATTTCATCAGGGGGAGAGCAGATGTTCCTGAGAAGAGGTTAATCACTGCCACACTGTCAAAGCCAAGACACCACTAATTAATTGCCAATGTGGTACCCTCCAGATGTAGTGGATTAGAACTCCCATCATCCCCAGTGAACATTGCCAATTTTCAGGAATGATGGGAGTTGTTGTCTAACAGCATCTAGAAGGAACTGCATTGGCCACCCCGGGAACAGAACATGAGTAGGCATCAAGCACAAGTTAAGAGAGTCTGTTCCAGTATTCTAGGGTGGTATATCTATATGTAGTGATTTGCTCTAAATGTAAGAAACTTCATTCGAACATGCTAGAAAGCATAAATTGTAAAAAGGCAGGCTGGAACTATGTTAAGTCAACAACAATTATGTGTCTGTTTCTTTAAAAAGAGTTAATTTTGAGAGGACATTATGAGGAGGAAAAATGGCCATTGTGAAGGATATCAACCCACTCCCTTTCAAATCGTAGTCAGTATTTGCAAATATGTAAGTTTATAGGTAAGACTACACTGCAATGGATTTTTATTGAAACCAATGAACGTTGAATAAGTCATAAAAAGATTTATTTTAGCTCTGACACTTTTATATATCATTTGGCCATTCTGTTCACAGTGGAACACTCATACCCATGGCAGTGAAAGCACTTGAAATACTTTAAAACAAAATGAAGTAAGCTTTCTTTATTATCTATTGAAATGTTATATTTAAATGCCGCACGTACACTTTTCTAGGAAAGAAAAGAAATCACTCCCTCACTGTCCAGCTTCCCCAAAAGAAAAGAAAAAACACACCCATGAAACATCTGCCAGCGTTGTTGAAACAGATGAACATGCTTGTTCAATCTGATTGTACAAGTGTGACCTTTTCATTGAGAGGTTGTTAAGAAAGTCTCGAGTAAAGTACTGTTTCCACCCCTTTCTACATTCTCATCTTTTTAGACAATCCTTTTCAATTATATGGTTGAAGAGGCATGTTCCTGACATTCTCTTTATCTGAATTCTCCTTAGCTGAGACCCCAAAGTTCCAAGTTTCCCAGTCTTGTTTTGGAAAGCATTAAGAATCCTCCATTGATCTGTTTAGTTCTATTCAGGCTTTGTTACTCACCTTATTAGAATTGTGGGGGTGGGGAGCAGGGTAAAACTTCCTGCCCTTCTGTTGTTCCCTGATGTCATAATGCATAAGCTTGCTCCTCTATTACTCTCAGCTCCCTCCACCTCATCCGACATTGTTCAGTGGGGACCACAACCAAGCCATCACCTATTCCCTTCAGATTGGGATACATCAACTGCAGAGTACCTGGGGTACCCAACAGAGCAGGTATTCAGACCTTGGGCATCCTGGTCTTCTGTTATGTCCCCAAAGAATCAGCATGATTCTATGATACTTACATTGTCAAAATATTGATTCCTGTTCATAGGTGGTTGGAGGGCAAGAGTGCTCATATGCGGCCAGAGTATGGCTGCATGGGCCAGTCACAAAATCCCATTAGCACTGGGTTTGCAATAGTTCAGTAACTGAGCAGTTGTAAAATACCTTTTTTCAACATGGTTCAACCTTCGTCTCCTGAGGAGACTCCTCACCTGTTAATGGTTTATTAGGGTGGTAACCATTTGGGGATCTTGAAGGGCAAATGCTGGCATGCTTGGATTTTGTGCTTTTCGGCATTATTGGCTGGAAGTGACCATAGTTTGGTCGGATATTTTGCCCAGAAGGGTGTGGAGGGGAGATGGTGACTCTAAATGACATAATTAGGCAAGGGTGAAAGTGAATGGGGAGATCTGTATCAACCTGCCTAGCAATGAGGGCAACACTATGCATTATCCTGAGATGAAATATACAAGGACTGGTTCCCATAAGCCGGGTGAAATTCACTTGTCCAATTGGAGCAATGATATTTTCTTGGCAGCATGACCTGCACAACTTTACTCAAGGCAGGTAGGGGGAGAGGGGCTAAGCTTTTCCTCTTCAGTGGCAGGTAATGTGGGAATCCAACAGGTAGAGTAAGGTTAGGAGAGCAATATATATATATATATATATATATATATATATATATATATATATATATATATATAAAATTTTTGCATATCATTCCCAACTATCATATGACATATTTTCTTACCTTATACAATATTTTGGACTTTCATCAACCACATCTGAAGATTTTTCAGTCTTTATCACCTAGTCTACATTTCTTAATTTCCCTATTACTTTTAATCGTCCTTAACTAATAACTCTCTTCATAATCTTCTTCTCTGCAATATTTCACATAATCCTCCTTACAAAACTTATTGCAGTCCCACTAGCGTAATCTGTTTATTACCATTGCTTTTCAAATAGTTCAAATATTTACTCCAGTCCCTTGAGAATCTCTGGTCCCGCAGGTTTCAGATCCTTCCTGTCATCTTGTCTAATTCTACATAGTCCATTAATTTCGTCTGCCATTCTTCTTTCGTCGGTAATTCTTCTTGTTTCCATAGGAGAGCATCCTTAGGCACCTTTAGAGGCAGAAATCCTGATGCTTCCTTCCAATGTTGGGAGGCCTGTTGGCATGGTAAGGATCACCTGGGGGAACAGTATTGTAGGAAAGGTCCTACAAGATCAAGAAAGCCACCCTACTCACCCGAATGAGTGGGGCTTAAGGGAGAGGGCATATCTCACTTGGATTGGTAGTTGATTAGTTACCTGCACAGAACCTCCCCTTGCAGACGTTGTTGTTTAGTCATTTAGTCGTGTCCGACTCTTCATGACCCCATGGACCAGAGCACACCAGGCACTCCTGTCTTCCACAGCCTCCCGCAGTTTGGTCAAACTCATGTTAGTAGCTTCGAGAACACTATCCAACCATATTGTCCTCTGTCGTCCCCTTCTCCTTGTGCCCTCAATCTTTCCCAACATCAGGGGCTTTTCATTTGTTTATAATTTGAATAAAATGTCCTTCATTTTAACACACTTCACCTTGTGTCACATCTTCTTATTTCCATGGTTACACTCGCAATGCAACTAGTTTGCTTGCAGTTTAATGAGAACAATATTGCAAATGCTGATTAACTTTGGAAAGTGTCCCAAATTATTTTTGCATTCATGCCCATAAGGCCAGTTTGGTTAGAGTAGACATTATAGCTGTTACCTTAAGCTTTGTATTATTAGTGTGCAAAAATAGTCTGCTCCTTTTTATGTTTGTAAGCAATAATATCACCTCAAGCAAACATAGTGATTTCAATTATCCTTAAGGCAAACTTTCATGTTACAACTTAATTATGGCCTCAGTAGCAGCTTTTCAGCACCATCTTCACATTAGCAAAATATCTACTCTGTCCTAGTCCTATTGTGCCATTGCTACACCTTATGCACAAGTCTCTATTGGTACTTTTCCCCACAATCAAAGAATAATGAAAATAGTGATGGGCAGTCAATGTCTTTGCTCCTAGTTTGTAACTGAGCCATTTAAAGCATATTCATTTTGAGCAATTTCACCAGAAATACCAAATTCTCTCTCTCTCTCTTTCTCTCTCTCTCTGTCTCTCTCTGTGTGTGTCCAAAGTTTGCAAGATGTGTGGATCCCAAAATATTTGAGTAGATCTTTAGAAGCAGAGCATAGACTAGAACCCTTTGGTTGGTTTCCATGATTAATTGTCCCATTGCCCTGCCCCAACAATCTCTACAGAGATTGCAGCCCTCTGTAGTTTTTAAAAAATGTTTTTAATGTTTAATGTTTTGTTATGTTTTTATATACCGTATGCTGTGAGCTGCTCAGAGTGGCTGTGGCAACCCAGTCATATAGGTGGAGTACAAATAATAAAATTATTATTATTACAGATTATGGTGTTATCAAAACGATGACAGAACCTAAAGGTGCATCAGACTTTAGCATTCACAGTCTTTAAGAAATGAACTCCAAAAATAGGACCACAAAAGGGGATCCTTCAAATTGAATAGATGGACCTGATTTGAATCTATTCCATCAATATCTGGGCAAGGACATTGCCTTGTGCTCAGGGTGTGGGGCGCTGTTTCCAAATCCACAGCTCCAAATGCTATCTCATTGCCTGAACTGTGACAATGACCTCAGGGGGTGGGACATACCAGCTCTGACGAGTCAAGAGGAGTAGTCAATTGATGCAGGTGCCAGGAACTATTAGAGGACTAAGCAGTGAGCAAAGTGTAACCATTTGTGTGGCGAGTTCCCGCCTCCCCCCTCAGAAATAAAGACACAAGACGCCAGAGTTTAAGGTTAATGGGTCAAATTAGGCCCCAACTTAACTGATTACAGGAATTGAGCGGTATTGGCTTAGGCATTGGTCCTATCAGCTAACCGGCTTCAGCCCGCTTGGTTGAAGACGGGCAAGGGTTAACCACCAGTAGGGGGAGTCCTGCTGATGCACATCAAGTAGGAGCTCCCCCGGGGTCACCGCTCGGGGGTGTGCCTTAGGCCCACACCTCCATAGGCTTAGGACAAGGCCACGCCCCCCAGAATCCTTTACCAGACTACCCTTCGATTTGGGGGGAAGGTGATGGCGCTTCCTTCCCCCCACCCTTGTTATCTGCATAACAACACCCCTACCAATGCCTAACCACCAATGCCCAGGAAGTTGTGACATTTGCTACGAGGCAGGCAAAAAACCAAATGGCTGGTGCCAATTTGCCAAATGGCAAAAATTCCTACCAGGCCCCTTGACAGCGACCAACCAAAGTCCATAGCAATGTCATAGAGCCTAACCTAACCGGTGGGTGGGATGGGAAAACCCGATCAGCTGGAGCACGGCAAGGAAAGAGTGAGATCCTCGGCCGCGCTGGCGCTAAGTAGGGCGGGCCACGCCCCCTGGGCCAGCCGATTGGCTGGCCAGGGGGATAACGAGTTTGAGGATTCCTCAGTATCGCGGGGGCTGTACGCCAGCCCCCGCATGCATGGGGGAGGGGCGTGAAGCCCGCAACCCCACCTCCTCTCCCGCTCGGAAGTGGCTTTACTGACTTTATTGAGGACAACCATGCACGTCACTTTCCAAGCTTCCTCTTCATCTGGAATGTTTAATTTTATTGTGAGAGAATGCATTCTCGCATTTCAAAGCACTATTGTTCCGCAACAGATGTTTATGAAAATCTTCTCTCTTGTAGTTACATTGCAAAACAATTATATCTGCGTGTAAAGGAAAAGCCTCGCTGCTAGGGAACTGTCAGTCACAGAGTAGGTTTTGTCTCACTGCATTGAAGACTGAAATGGCTGCACACTTTAAACAGGATAGTTAGTTTGTTTAATATCAATGGGCATGTCTGGATGCAACTGGAACCCTGATGGATCTCTCCCCAGGCAACTGCCAATAGCCTATAGCCCTGATGGCTGCGCATTGTTGTTGTTTAGTCGTTTAGTCGTGTCCGGCTCTTCGTGACCCCATGGACCAGAGCACGCCAGGCACTCCTGTCTTCCACTGCCTCCCGCAGTTTGGTCAGACTCATGCTGGTAGCTTCGAGAACACTGCCCAACCATCTCGTCCTCTGTCGTCCCCTTCTCCTTGTGCCTTCCATCTTTCCCAACATCAGGGTCTTTTCCAGGGAGTCTTCTCTTCTCATGAGGTGGCCAAAGTATTGGAGCCTCAGCTTCAGGATCTGTCCTTCCAGTGAGCACTCAGGGCTGATTTCCTTCAGAATGGATAGGTTGGATCTTCTTGCAGTCCACGGGACTCTCCAGAGTCTCCTCCAGCACCATAATTCAAAAGCATCAATTCTTCGGCGATCAGCCTTCTTTATGGTCCAGCTCCTACTTCCATACATCACTACTGGGAAAACCATGGCTTTAACTATACGGACCTTTGTTGGCAAGGTGATGTCTCTGCTTTTTAAGATGCTGTCTAGGTTTGCCATCACCTTTCTCCCAAGGAGCAGGTGTCTTTTAATTTCGTGACTGATGTCACCATCTGCAGTGATCACGGAGCCCAAGAAAGTAAAATCTCTCACTGCCTCCATTTCTTCCCCTTCTATTTGCCATTACCTCCAATATTTGAGGAGTTTCACCTCTGAATATCAGCAGATGGAATCACAGGTGAGGTGAGTGCTGCTGTTTGTGCGCTCCTCATTGGCGTCTAGTTGGTCACTGTGGGAACAGAATGCTGAATAAGTGAGCCTTTGGTCTGATCTTATGTTCACTGCATGATTCATCCAAATATTTATATATTAGCCCACCTATTGCCATGGCAATTTGCTTTCCACAATCCAGAAACATTATGTCTAGCATTTTCCATCCGGAGACTCTGTTTGATGTGAAGGTCACTTGTGACCTTGAGAAAGGAGATACTTTCCAATTCTCAGAAAATAGGATACCGATTACCAGTTGTACATGCTGCATTTCAGTTGCGTCGTATTAAGAATCTGTTAACCCTACTTCAAGTTATTTCAAAAGAAATTACCTTAAGTGCATTCTCCCCTCTGCTCAGCTGGTCTCGTGGAAGCCGTATATTTCCTTCTCTAGAAAATCGGTATTTTGTCTTGATTTATAAGGCTTCGATGTTATCTCCTCAAAGGTAATTTGATTCCTGTCTAGCCACAAGGTGTAGTCGTTAAGATCACTCTTTTTCATATCTGGCCTCTTAGCACATTTCCACAAACCACCGTTCCTTCCAGCATTGCCACTGCCTCAGCACAATCAGAATGAAAAAGAAAGAGAGAAAGATGTATTAGAAACCATTCCTTTCCCCTGTCATCCGGATTAAGGCACAAAACATATTTTAATGCTCACCGCCAGCAAAGGCACAGAGATTGACTCAGCCTTTAATTAGGGCTGCCTTGCAAAAGGAACCTTGCTAACACTCGGTGTATTTTCACAAAATATGCTGCATGTCCTGACCGTTATAAGAATGGAACAGTCTCTGGTTATTATTGTAGAATAGAATTGCGGTGAGTAAATGATCACACCAAAATGACAGCCATAAAACTTCAGCTGGATGTTTTGACTATTTACTAGACACTCATCATCGTATTATATGTTGCAAACACAGGATTGCCAATACTGTGGTTGCGTTGTGACATTGGCAGGGGAGAACTGGTGGTTATGCCTTATACTGGAAGTCAGACCAGTGACTTATCTAGCTCAGAATTGGCTAGACCAGACACCCATAAACTGCTGCCATCTTGATGGTTTGGACTGCAGCTCTCATTGGTCATGTATGCTTGAGCTTATAAGCGTTGGAATCAAACAACATCTGGAGCAGTGTTTCCCAAACTTGGGTCTCCAGCTGTTTTTTACTACAGTTCCCATCACCGCTGACCACTAGTACTGCTAGCTAGGGATGGTGGGAGTTGTAGTCCAAAACAGCTGGAGATCCAACTCCCATTATCCCTAGCTAGCAGGACCAGTGGTCAGGGATGGTGGGAACTGTAGTCCAAAAACAGCTGGAGACCCAAGTTTGATCTGGAGGGGACCAGATCGGACAAGGCTGGTCTATGATGACTGGCAATGGCTCTCCAGATTTTCAGACATGCATATTCCTTACACTACTTGGAACTGCCAGGAACTGAAGTTGGGAATTTCTGAATGCAAAGCATGGTCTCTACCTCTATACTCCTTCCTCTAATTAATGTGAAGCATCTCTCCCTTGATTCTCTGTTGCCAATAACCACCAATCCATCACTACCACTTCCTCTTCATTCAGACCTGTAGCTGATTCTCTCCTAGAATTCAAACAATCCTCCTTCCCATTGTATTATATCTGGGCAAACCCAGGTTTGGTTTTTCCGAAGGTCACTGTAGTTTCTCTGTTAAAGCCACTTCCGACCTCGGGAGGAGGTGGTGTTGCAGGCTTCATGCCCCCAACACGCCAGCGGGGGCTGGCTCTCAGCCTCCGTGCAATTAGGGGAATCCTTGACCGCATCATTCCCTGGCCAGCCAATCGGCTGGCCCAGGGTGTGGGGCCTGCTCCATATAAGGCAGGCACAGCCAGGGATCTCCCTCTTTGGCCACACTGACTCTCCGGTTTCCCACCCGCCCGCCCTCTAAGTTTCTCTTCCAACCTTGCTATGGACCTCGGTTGGTCGCCGTTAAAGGGCCTGGTAGGAATTTTTTCCACTTGGCAAATTGGCACCAGCCATTTGGTTTTTCGCCTACCTTGTAGCAAATCGTCACAACTTCCTCGGTATTGGTGGTTAGGCATTGGTAAGGGAGGGTTAAGTGTATGTGAGTGGGGGGGGGGAGAGGAAGCGCCATCGCCTCCCCCCCCAGCAAAGGGTAGTCCGATAAAGGACTCCGGGGGGCGTGGCCCCGTCCGAAGCCTATGGAGGTGAGGGCCCAAGGCACGCCCCAAGTGGTGACCCCGGGGGAGTGCCTAGTTGATTTGCATCAGCAGGGCTCCCCCTGCTGGTGTTAACCCTTCCCAGTCTTCAAGCTAACAGGCTGAAGCCGGATAGTTGGTTAGGACCAATGCCTAAGCCAATACCACTCATCACCTGTAACCAATAAAGTTGTGGCCTAATTTTGCCCATTAACCTAAAATAACTGTGTCACGGGTCTTTATTCCTACTGGGGGTAGGCGGGAACTCACCACACAAAGGGCAGCTATCGTGTTCTCTCCATAAGCACAACAGCTGATCTCTCAACTCTAGGCTTACCTAAACCCCAGAGCTGCCTCAAAAATAATTTTTAAAAAGATTATCAATATTGGCCATCCATCAATCAGTCCCCGCTGCAATGCTTCCAATATTTACCGTAGATGTTTAGTTTACCAGCAAACAGGGTTTCATCCTCTATCCCAACAACAGTGTTGTTCTGACACTTTTAATATTGGAAATGACAAGAGTTTCTATGTAAAGCTCTCTCGCATTGCAACTGTACTTTAATTTGTTTAACAAACAGTGTAAATGTTGTTGTTGCTGTCAAGACTAAAGAAACTGTTGACCCAGAAATAAAGAAGAAAAAAAAGGGGGGGGGAGAAAAGAAAGAAAAGCCATATGCTAAGATGTAAGTTTTATACAAGAGAAATGTGCCATATGGCACTGGATTTGCACCCCTGTCAATGCCGCCTTGAAAGCAACCCATGAAATACGATCATTCATATCATTGCTCCTGTCACTCCTATTGGAATCTGTGACAGCAAAGAAAGAAAAGTGACAATGACGTGTAATAAGGTTCTGTAGGACAAAAGATACCTTATACTACCAAGAGGAACGAACAACTGTATTTAGAAGTCAATTGCAGGTGGCAATTAAGAGTGCAAATGCTGTTTATTAATTGCCATGTGCTCGTAAACATGATCTCTTTTCAGAAAAGAGTTGATGACTCATCGCTCACTTCCCTGGGTGTTCAAAGTGTTTAAATACAATGCGGCAGATAATTATCAGCTTCCACCAAATGTGCTTGTTAGTAGCACTGGAATTAATTTAGGTATTAATTATGAATGGTATACCTTTGGGGAAATGCATCAATCTAAACTATAACACACCTGTCTTCAGGCACGTTGATGCTGCATCAAACTCTTTCGCAAAGGTTTGCCTTCCAATAATGCCAGCGCCTTGTAAAAGTAACCGTAATCATTGGGTGTTAACACAACAGTTCCTGCAGCAAACCTCCACATTTATATATTGCCCTATCCCGTACGTTCAAGGCTCCTGGTAATATATTTTCCTCTTCCTTATTTTATGCCTCCCTCTGATAACTCCTTCCTACACATGATAGATCTTTCTTTTTTAAGTGATCTGAAGATAAATTGCGAACTAAATGCCCTGCATCTTATTTGGATTAACTTTTTGAGAAGGACGCCAGTTCTTTGTTGAATTACACTAAGTGCATCAGAAAACATAAGAGCTTACAATATTGAATCTGGATCTTGTTAGTATTTGTACTTCTACTGTATTTATTAGAAATGGGATCCTCCTTAATGAGGGTCCTGGTTGTGCATGGGCCCCTGAGACACCCCCCTGTTGGGTTGTAGGTGGGGGGGCATGCCCCAGGCCTTGTCTGTGGGCCCCACAATCATGCCAGGCCGTTTGAGTCAATCCGATGCAGGTAACGTGATGGGGGGCTTTAAAAGTGGCAGTGTGACATAGCTGAGGCACTTGCTTTGCACTGCTGAACACCTGCTCTCCTGTCCCTATTTGTTGGTGTTGCAGCTTTGGCCTTGCTTCGGATATTGGTTGGTCAGCCTGTTTTGGAACAGGGGCCAGGTAGGAATTTTTTTTCCATTTGGCAAATTGGCACTGGCCACTTGGTTTTTGCCTACCCCCTTAGCAATCATCACAACTTTGTAAGGTTTGGCAGTTAGGCATTGGCTTAGTGAGGTTTGTGGGAGGGGAGGTGCGGCCATCACCTGCCCCTCCATGAATAAGGGTATTCTGGTAAAGGAATCTGGGGGTCCTGGATCTCATCCAAAGTCCGCTTGAGGAGCTAGGGCCATGCCAGGACCACAGGAACCCTGGAGTGAGTAGTTGCTTTTCATTGATGTTGCTCCCTCGTTTGGTGTTTACTCTTCCAGACTACCTGCCAGAGAGGCAGGAGTCAGTTATAGTCGGTTGCCAATGCATAAGCCAATACCACTCACTTTGCTGTAATCAATAAATCTGTGACCTAAATTTTGCCCAATAACTTAAACCAAAATTACATGTCAGTGTGAAGTTACTTACTTGAGGGAAGGGCTTGGGGCCCTCAGAGCGCAAAATGTATTTTGCAAAGAATAAATTGTATTGGGGGAAAAGAAAACCCATGCAACGTAATGTAACAGCTGCAAAATCTTCTGACTCCAATCAAGGTCACAGAAATGCTGAATATGTTACCTTTAAAAGTGAGTATGTGTGTGTGTTAGGTCGTGATAAAAGGGGTGGGAATTAGAGATTGGCTGGTTGTTGCACTGAGTTTTGCAGGCTCCACGAACATGCTGCTCGGAGGAGCTGGTGAGGGCAGACAAGTTATAATTTATGGACTGCTTCAAAGGAGTTTTAGAAGCAAGAAGACCCTCTCTTGGGCTCAAGAGAGTGAAAGACATTGCATTGGACTTTGTATCTGCAAAACTGCTTTTAATAGTTGCCATCCTCCAAGGAAAGAGTCGTTTTAAAAGCCTTGTGTGAGGAGTCTATTTCACGACTAGGGCTTCGAGGGTGAAACTGCTGCATCAATCTGTATGACTCAGAAAAAAGAGATCTGTTTCAGTTTCCCACAATTTCCTGCCTTTGCTTATGCAAGGTTAGGGGAGTCTCAAAATGTGCCACTCCAAATCTTTCTATCTGGCCCTTGGGAGTTTCCCCAGGCCACGCCCCTCCCCAGCCACACCCACTTTCCCCAGGCCACACCCTTTACGAACTATGCTTGACACCTTCCTTGAGTGTTTTTAGCTGGCTGGAGTGTGTCATTGAACTCTGATAATGCCTCTTGCTCGTCCGGATGAAGGATAGAGAAGGGTGTCTGAGTGTGTGTAGAAACTAATTGAATGTACTAAGTTAGCATTCACATTCCTTTGGCTGCCCATTTTTGCTTCCAGCCTCTCTTTCCACTAACATCTGCTCCCTTGAAGATATTGTGGGTCTCAGGCTGAAACAGGGTTGCCCACCCATGGCTTAGGCTTTTCATCATTAGGCAGAGTGAAGGTGGATATTGCGGGCAGCATATTTTGCCAAATATATATATATATATATATATATATATATATATATATATATATGCATTCTTCAAATGAAGAATGATATAATAAATAATCATGAATAATAATTTGGGAACTCCAAATGTGTCAACCATCCATGAATTTGGTCCTTCTGGTGTATACCACTTCAAATAAAATGGAGATAATTCCTTTAGGAGTTTAGCATCCTCACAATATCATTATTATGCCTGACTTTAACTTTCTGTATGTGTACAGATTTCTGTTGCGGTTCATTTCAAAGCTTTCATGCTAATGATCTGTCTGATTTATTCCCCAGCTCAAAGTATCTTTGCTTCACAAATGGCATTTTTGAAAAATAAATTCTAATCCCAATTGCTCACAAACTATTCGAGAAGAAAGTTGCTTGTGTTCCTGTTCCGGAAGTCTAATTGAAATAATAAATAGTTCTGTTGTTGTTGTTTCTTTGTTTCTTTTTCTTTTCTTCTTTTTTTAAAAAACCTCTCTCCCTTTACCTCCTAGCCAGGAAATAGAAGACAGTAGATGTCCTCTTATAAGAGCTTTATAAGTATCACAAATTGCTGATGAGAAAGAAAAAAATGTGCAATTAAAAACCCCCAAACAAAATTGTGTTTCTCAGTCTATGAAGCTCAGTATACTTCTCTGCTTTCACAATTAAATTAAAGCCTTCTCTCACTGACTAAGAGTCTTCTATCTTTAGTAAAAGCTCTCTTCAAACATTCTGATTCAATACACAGTAAACGACACCCTGGGTGCTGTGGCTAGAGGAACAAACTCACTGGCTACAGTCATATCTCCATCCCTATAAGCTTCCCTGAGCTGGAGCTCCCTCACACATACTAGAACCCTCATTTTCCATTATTGTGATTCTATCAAAATGCATTGAAGCATATTGAAATCTGGGTGTACACAATGCAGATTGTTGTTGTTGTTATTTAGTCGTTTAGTCGTGTCTGACTCTTCGTGACCCCATAGACCAGAGCACGCCAGGCACTCCTGTCTTCCACTGCCTCCCGCAGTTTGGTCAGACTCATGTTTGTAGCTTCGAGAACACTGTCCAACCAGATTAACAGAACACAATTCTGGATAAAAATGTGCAAAGTTTATATGGACTTGAAAGAGTCATCCATCACCACGTCAAGATTAAGAAATACCACCCTGCCCCCTTTTGGAGATCAACTGGTCCTCTTCTGTTTTAACGCTGAGACCAGGGTCTGCTCTGGAGGGATTGGATATCTTTGAGGGCAATGCTTTCTGTCAGATGCCCCACTTGTGGGCTGAAGAGCCACAGTGCCCCTGCCCGTCACCAGTTGAGGTTCACTACATGCAGAGACTTCCGGGTCAGCGCCATTGGTGAATGGCGGAGTTCCTCCGACCGGAGGAACGGGCTCCGTGGAAACTGGGTCTTCCCACCGCGGCGAAGGTGGGGACCCGCTAGAAATCCCAGGCGGAGGAAGCCTGGGAACGTGGGGTTCGGCAGGGCACCAGAAGCTCCCCCCTACTCACGGGGAATCCCATCTAGGGGCTCCGGAGCGAAGTGGGGTGAGAAGCGCGGTGCTACGAACTGACTGCTACTTTCACGGAGTGAAGCCGCACAGCCATTGCCAGAGAGCGCTGACTTTTCCTGTGGACAATTGGACTTAAAACAAGTACCCGTGAGTAGAAACGGAAAATTGGATCAAGAAATTGTTTAATTTGGTATCGAAGCGGGAAGGTGCAAACAGGAAGTCCGCCTTCCGCTTTTTGTATATAGACTAAAGCAAAAATTTTGCAAGCTAAAGCCGGGAAGCTGTCAAAAAAGACTAAATTTCCTTCATTCAGAATCACTGAAACCCCCCTTGGAAGCAGGAGAAAAGGGGGGGGGACTCTGTTTAATCTTAGCAGGAGAGGGAGTGAAGAAGGATAAGTTTCCACCGTCTCTAACCTGGGAACGGGGTGTCAGAGACAGAAACTGTTGGAGAGGTTCATTGACTGTGAACGTAATACTTTGACAGATAGCTAATGAAGAGAAACAAGTTGATTCTAATGTTGCCTTTTGCATTTTAAAGAAACAAAATACCTGAAAAACATCTGAAATATTTGAAAAATGAAAGTAACTTTCCTTTGTCTTAAAAAAAAAATATGGATACAAATAGATTGTCTCCTCTAGAGGGAGCTTGCTAAATTGTTGCTGTAGTATATTTGAGACCCAACATCTGTGAGATTAAGACCGTGGGAACAGTCTTTTCTGACCTTGAACAAAGATGAGCTGGGAGGAAGACTGGGTGCTTGCTTTATGCAAGACAAATGCTTTGCTGGAACAGATGCATGAGAAGATGGACTTGATGAATGAGAAAATGGATTTGACTGTTGTGGTTAATAACTGTGGACAAACAGGGAACATTGATACAGAAATCATTCAGGAACCAATCTATGAATCTGTACTGACTGGGCAAGTGCAGATGACAATGGAGGAGGATGCGGCTGCACCTCAAATAGTACAAATGGAGAGACCCGAGGCCCTACAGGAGCATAAGCCGCTGTTATTGAAGATTGAAGTTGGAGTGGGCCAAGGGAGTCTGGAGATGAGGAGGTTCCTAGCTTTGGAGAGATCTTGAAATTTGATTTTAAGTACATTTTGGATTATATCGAGGACTGTGGGGAGTGGGACTGTGGGGAATGGGCGAGCTGGATGAAGGGTGATGGAGACAATTTTGGCTTGGAATCCCCCAGAGACCTACTGCTCAATGAGAAAGGAAAGAAACTAAGACAGAGACCAACAAAAGACAAGGAAAAGGGCAAGCACAAACAAGATGAAGAAGAATTGCAGAAGGGACATGGAAGAGACTTAAGGGCCTCGGACATAAGGCTTCCAGGTTGATGGACTAGATGGAATGGACAGTAAGGACTGACACGACCCGAGACCAGGAAGAAGAGACGCTGGATGATGATTGGAAGAGAATTTATAATGGGAATTTTTTATTTTAGAATCAGCTTAATGAATATTAGGGAAAATGTGGGAATGAAACTATACGACTCTAGCAGAAATGATATCAGGAGCTATGTATATTTGAAAACTAAGATTTAAGTCTTAAGGTACTTAGGGGTAAGATAAGGTTAAATAAATTAAGGTAATTTGAATAACAGAATATGGGGAAAGATGGAAAGGACTTGTTGAGTTAATTATTAGGTTAAATTGTTAAAATAAATTTTATAACAAAAATTGAGAAAGATGGAAAGAATTTGCTGAAATAATTACTAAACTAGAATACAAAAAGGGAGGTGTGAGGAGGTCAGTGAAACAAGCAAATGGAAATTATGGATATGCAATTTGGGATTTGTGTTTTTTCCCCCCTTTTTTCTTCTTTTTTTACTTTCTTTTGCTGTATTGTCGTATTGGTCTTTATATTTTGTGCTTTTCTCTTTTTTTTTACTTTTTTCTTTCTTTTTGTATTGTAGTGTTGTTTTTTGTTTTTTATTTTTCTTGTAATCCTGAAATTATCAATAAATATTATTTTTTTTAAAAAAAGAGGTTCACTACATGCAATGTGGTACATCACAATGTAGAGGAACCACTTAACTTGGATATCCTGAATTCTTCATCAACGAGCAGGTGAGCTAGTTGATCAATGAATATATGCTCCGTGCCTGCACCAAAGCTTTCCATCTGTAATCAAGTTGCGTGTCGAGGTCTCCAAGCCACCCCTCAAAATAATTCACAATTCACACATAATTTTTGTTTAAGGTTTTTGGCATAATTTTGGCCACAACTTTATTAAAATACATAATCTGTGAGTGGTTGCTTAGGCATTGGTTAAGACTATCTGTCCCCCCGCCTGGGAGAGAACTGACTTCCAAACTCCCTCGGAAGCCAGTGAAGGGAAAACAATATTGGGGAGCAGTTGAGCTGGGTCCCAGGCCCTCACTGCTCACCCAACCTGCTCCCTAGGGCTTGTTGGCCCTGGTCCCATTTCAGGGATTGGACGAAATCGTGGCAAGCCCCTGGATTCCTTTAACAGAATTCCCTTCCACACCACCATTGGAGGGGCAGGCCCAGCCTATCCTGACCCCTCCTCCACCAATTTTTATAACCAATGCCTAACCGCAACCTTACAAGTTGTGATGAATTGCTAAGTAGTAGGCAAAAACCAAATGGCACCAGCCAATCAGCCAAATGGACAAAATTCCTACTAGACCCCTGCCCCAACGGCAGACGACCCCATGACAGGCATAGCAAGGTAAACTCAGGGCGGGTGGGTGGGTGATCCGATGCACTCAGCGAAAGAGAAAGCAAAAGCTGAGTGCCCCAATATTTAAAGCCTTTGGTGCCACCCACCACATTGCAACATGCAATTTGCCCCAGCAACCCAGCTATCCAATCGTTGCCCCAGGCCAGCTCACTTTACCTGCCTGGCAACAGAGGGTTGGCTTGGCAGACCCCACCGCAACACGTGCTCTCATTTCAAGGACAACACGCTTTGTGGCCAATTTTCCTCCAACACACATCTCTGGGTATTTATTTGATGTCTGCATACCCCACCATGGACTCACCATTCCTGAGCCCACAAAACCTTCTCCCTGAGCCTATTTTATACCGTTCAAGCTAGATGCAAGACAAAGGGAAAGCTCAGTCAAAGGTTTGCTTTAGCTTATTAACCAGCAGCTTTTATGTGCTGCAACTTGAGATTCGTTGTACATAAACTGCAATGCCGCACTCAAGAGGACATGCACACACAAAGTTGATTGAATGATTGATGGATCCTGGGTCATGTAAGTAGGGCAAGATGAGTCTGGGGATTTGGGGAAGTGTGTAATACTTTATGTTCCTGTCAAGAAACTCCAGAGCTTGAAAGTTGAAAGGCGTGGGCAGAAAGGCAGTGGAACAACAATGGAAAGCCACAGGATGTACTCATCTCAGTGAGGGAAATTAAGCATTTAATGTTTGGTTTAATGAACTTAGGTGCATTGTTTTGTCTTGTTTTAAGTAAGAGTAAAAAAAATAAAATTCTCACTTTTACTCAGATTTGGAAACCATTATCTCATTCCACAACAAGCTCTAAATGAAATTTGTTAAGTTTATTGTACTAGTCATGGAAATTTAATAAACTCTATAGAAAAGTACAGGGACACGGGTGGCGCTATGAGTTAAACCACAGAGCCTAGGACTTGCTGATCAGAAGGTCAGCGGTTTGAATCCCTGTGACAGGGTGAATTCCCCTTGCTACGTCCCTGCTCCTGCCAACCTAGCAGTTTGAAAGCACGTCAAAGTGCAAGTAAATAAATAGGTACCGCTCTGGCGGGAAGGTAAATGGCATTTCTGTGCGCTGCTCTGGTTCTCCGGAAGCGGCTTAGTCATGCTGGCCACATGACCCGGAAGCTGTACGCCGGCTCCCTCAGCCAATAAAGCGAGATGAACACCGCAACCCCAGAGTCGGTCACGACTGGACCTAATAGTCAGGGGTCCCTTTACCTTTTTTAGAAAAGTACTCATCCGTTCCTCTATTTATTCTTTTCAACTTTATCATTCAGAATTTGTAAACCATTTAATGGTAAAAGCCTCTACGTTGCTGACATCAAATATGAAATATGTATTAAAACTATCAATAGGAAGAAGAAAAACTACCTTACTGCCAAAGAATCAGAGACCCAGGGCAACTCATGGAGTTCACTAACTCCATGACTGAATGAGAACTGAAACACAGTTCTGTCCCATCCCAGCACTTAAGTCTGGGTATTTTGTAGAGTTGTAAGGAAAAAGGCAATCTGACCCTAGGGAAACGAGGCAGAATGACAGAACAACTCCTTCAACATCTCCTTCTTCTCCTCCTTCTCTCTCCCTTTTCTTTTTTTTTGATTTTTGGAGAGAAAACTCTCTTTAAAGCTCTCTCTGTTCTGATTTCTTTTAAAGTCAAGCACCAGCACTATGATTTGGGTTAGAAATCAAACAGGCAGCCACTGAAGTTATTTCAAAATGGAGGAAATGGACTGTGCAAGTCAAAATCTTGGCAGCTGCATTCTGGTCTTATTTAACCACTGGGGATAGTGGTTCATCGACCTGAACTTAGCCACCCCCACCTTCTAACCAGCCTGGATGGTGGCTCTGGCTGTTACCTTGCTCATCCTTATGCTCTGTGTCGCATTTATAGAACTCAATGGAGAGAAGATTATGGGGATAAAACTAAGGTTAGATGGCACTGCATGAAATGGGTTCTTTCTGAGCTTATCGCTGGTTTCTCGCTCCTCCTACAATTGACCTCCCTGCCTTCTGCCAATGGACAGCAGCTACTACTGAATTTAAACTTCTGAAATAACCAGATTACTAGGCGGTATCTTTTTTTGTATGGGGGGGGGAACTTGAGAAATGTTAAATTATGGCCCCCCAAAAATTAGCTCCTCACGGCAGAGGAGTTGTTGTTTTGAAAGCATTTGTGTGCAATTATTGTCAGTGTTTTCTACCTGAGCAGCAAAGCAGAAAATCCTGTCACTTGTTAATAAATGTGAATCATGATAGAGAGCCTTGGAACAAAAAGGTCAAAAGCCTACCCTTCATTTGTGATCCCATACTTTGGAATGTTTATTGCTCTTAAACTCAGACGGTGGGCAAGCGGAACGGCTCATTTGCAAAGGAAAATACGAAACCATACAATGCACCTGTGTGAATGGGTGAAGCTTTGTGAACCAGAACTGAAAGCAGGGTGAAAACAGAGCACTGTGGGTCTGGAGGCTTTGTGGTGATATTTTTAACATTGGAACAGATGACGTGCCCCATGTAAAAGAAGTGCAATGGGATGAAATAATCTGTAGGAGTTGAAAAGTTCAGGTGTTCAAGGGTTATAAGAAAATACATTTTCCCCATTCCCATGTTGCTAATGTAGATGCTTCACCTTTCTCTCCATTTAGCGTACACAAATGTCCTCGGTTTGCGAACTTAATCTGTTCCAGTAGTCCTTTCTTAAACAGAAATCGTTCTTAAACCAAGGCGTGCTTTCCCTAAAGAGGCCTCCTGCTGCTGGTGCCCTTCCACCATTTGGATTCCATTCTTAGACCGAGAATGGATCGTTCATAAACAGGGCTGTTCTTAAACTGAGGTACCACTGTATACTGAAGGGCAGATATTCAATGGAAGACCGAAGGAACTTTGGAAAACTCAAGAAGTATCAAGAATATAAGCTGAAGTGAAACAAACTCTTGTTTAAAAGGTAAAGGGACCCCGACCATTAGGTCCAGTCGCGGACGACTCTGGGGTTGCGGCGCTCATCTAACTTTACTGAGGGAGCTGGTGCGCAGCTTCTGGGTCATGTGGCCAGCATGACTAACCAGAGCAGTGCATGGAAACGCCATTTACCTTCCCGCTGGAGAAGTACCTATTTATCTACTTGCACTTCGTGCTTTCAAACTGCTAGGTTGGCAGGAGAAGGGACCAAGCAACGGGAGCTCACCCCATCGCGGGGATTCGAACCGCCGACCTTCTAATCGGCAAGTCCTAGGCTCTGTGGTTTAACCCACAGCACCACCTGCGCAGCATGGCTATGAGGAGTGTCTGAAAGACATCAAATGTTAAGAAGACATAAATGGTCTTCACAGGTTTCGTTAATGCTTTGCCAATGATCCACTGTGAGTGTTTTCTCTTGGGATAATTTGCAACATGGGTTTGATCTATCAATCTCTCTTCATTGGGAATGGAAATGTAGAGACCTCTGGGGCCTTTTCTCAGTTCAGGAACTCCACAGCTAGGGAATAGGGAAGGAATCTAATTCATTTCACATTTAATAGCAAATCTATCAAATCTGCAGTTCCTGAAAGAATATGAGAATTAAAACACAGGCATCTTTGGAAATGTGCACTTATCTGAATTTTGTGATGCAGTTCTCCAGCCAAACTATCTATGCTGCAGGGAATTGTGCCTGAAAATAAGATATGGGTGAAAATAACATAGAAAAGGGCAGCATATCAGGGGAAATTGCTTGCAAAATGTGTACATTAGTCAGAACTACATTAAAAATGTGTTTATGGGGAGAAATCCACAGTAAAATGCTGATGAATTTCTTGAGCATTTTTTTTTAAAAAAAAATTAAAAATATGATGCAGAAATGCAGAGAACCAAATTTAAGAGTGGAAAAATGAGAAACGGAGAGAACCAAAATTGACAGATTTTCCCAGCTGTGTCCACACTCTCACCAGCTATGTCTCCTCCACCCACTGGTGGAGCAACGGGAGCGGACTACCTCCAGCACCACTATTCTGGTAGGGTGCCATTGCGGCAGCCCCCCCAACATGCGCCATGCACCTCCCCCATGCTCTGGGCACCACGCCCCCACAGGTGGCACACCACACCCCCTAGAATGTGCACCACGCCCAGCAGGTGGCGTACCATGCCCCCGCGGTGTGCACCACGCCCCTGGGGCATGCGCCACACCCCTGGGGGCGCCAGCCATGCCCCTGCCTGCTCTCTGCCTCTGGTAGCAGAGCATGCAGCTTCGCCACTGCCTCCACCACCAGTCCGCCCCTAGAACAGTTAGGGAGCCTTCCTAGTCTCACATGACCCCCCTCCAAGGTTTAATTAGACCTGGCTCTTACACACTTACATGCAAAAACATTTATAAGGTCGTTGGTTTCTTTTGCCTTGCTCACATGCAAAGAAGGACAGGGTTCTTGCACCTTTCACAGTTCTGTTATTGCTGCAGAGAATATAATGGGATGAGGCTTTTCATGGGGTATACAGTAGCCCTATATCATATAGATGGGCTAATATGACGGGCTGATTCTAACAACATAATTTGATCAACTTTGTCACCCAACATTCCCATAAAATGAAGTTCCATGAATCTTGGGTGCCGAATCTTCAGCAAGCAGCCAGAACACATAAATATCTCCATGGTATGAATTCCATTCTTTTAAGACTCTGGTTCACCTTTCCACTCTGTCAATAAAACCCTGATTTGTTTAAAAGTTGTCAAAAGCATCTTAATTACTTGCTCATCCGTTTATCACTGTAAGACACTGAGAGCCAGCGCCGAGGGCCTTCTGGTGGTTCCCTCATTGCGAAAAGTGAGGTTACAGGGAACCAGACAGAGGGCCTTCTCGGTAGTGGTGCCCACCCTATGGAACACTCTCCCTTCAGATGGGAAGGAAATAAGCAGCTATCCTATCTTTAAAAGACATCTGAAGGCAGCCCTGTTCAGGGAAGTTTTAAATATTTAATGCTGTACTGTTTTTAACATTTGATTGGGAGCCGCCCAGAGTGGCTGGGGAAACTCAGCCAGATGGGCGGGGTATAAATAATAAATTGTTATTATTATTATTATTATTATTATTATTATTATTATTATTAAAGTCTGGGTCTATGAAGCTTACAGCTGAGGAGGAGGCTTGGATTGGTAGCCTTTAACCCTAAGCAAAGGAAATCTCACACTTCCCAAAAGTGGAAGGAGAAATGAAATGGACAAAGGGAATTCAGAGTGGGCGAAATGGTACCGAGAAAAGTGAATTATGTGAGAAGGCAAGATGCTTCTGGTATGTATATGCCGCCTAGTTTTGTTATGGAAATACAATGAAACATTGTGCATATTTATGGTAAATCAGTACTCGGAATGGATCCTAGTCCTGCTTAATGATAGTAAACACACAGTTGCATTCTAAGTGTTCAAGGTAAAAAAGAAAGAAAGGAGATGTCATTTCAAGTGCCTATTTATTACACATTCATTGTTCGCAGTAAATAGCATCTGTGGTTATTATATCAATCTTATCATAAACGCCAGTAATTTGTAGGCAGGCAGAATAGCTCAAACTGTGTTTCGGCAGCTGTGGTGGTGAAGAAAGGGGACGAAACACCATCCCGGTGCATTAAAATTGCATCAAGCCTCTCTTCCATTCATGTTTTACACTTTCCCCCCATTCATTTCTTCGTGGGTTTCTTGTTGTTTTTACTGCTGTTGTTCACACGGACGACGTGGAGAAATGATTCATTACATGAGAGAATGCGGCCATCTGTTTACTTGAAGCAGGAGCACAGTGCACAGGTTTTGGATAAGTTCCAGAACCGGACTCAACATAAAAAAGAACGAGATAGTCTCTTGGTGTAGGCAGTTGTTCGTTGTAAACATAGTTTTAAGTGTTCTAATTATTACTGTCAGTTAATCTTTTTTCCTGTCTATGGATTGTCTCGGGCACTGGCATCTAGGCTTTGCTGCATCCCACATGAAATCTGGACTTAGTCATGGCATATGTTAAGGGGCCTCTTCCTTCATGAAGCAGAAACTGAGGAGACGAGGGCTGGTCTAGCTAAGACTGTGTTAGCCCCTCGATTCCAAAATTGCTCCCTTCACTCCTTTGCCAACCCATATATTGTGGAGCTCTTATTTTCCCCTGCTTCAGAGTTTATTACTGAAAGGAGTATCTCTCCTGGTTTCAGAATGGTAAACGCTCAGAACTTTAGTCAGAAATGTCATACTGATTCATAATATAAACAGTGGTTTTCATTGCCGGGTAATAAATATGAGCTATAAAAACCTAAATGAGAGTAACAGCGCCATAAATTATCAGTATGTTATGTTATAAATGTGGAATAGTCTTTGAAGTGTTTTTTATTGCTGAGACACAGCGTATACACTAAAAAAAAGGGCTTTTTGTTAACAGTACTATAAAATAGCAGCGGAAAGGAATGGAAGCCCAAAGAAAGCTTTCTAGACAGAAATAAGCAAGACCCCCTTTCTCACAGCCTTATTGTACTGTGCTTATGGGGTAGAGAGTGTGCTGAGGCAAATTTTTACGTTAAAAATTCTGAAAATGTTCTTTTGCAGGTGGGACTTTGAAAGAGGACAATTTTGCACACACACACAAACACACACACAATTATCTGAATATTCTCCAACATCTGTGAGGTGGCTTCCATTTTTCCTCTACAGTTCCATGGGGAAAAGTTATGTTTGCTGTTGCTACTATTAGTTTGCAGAAAAACCACCCCCACTGAGGGAAAAATACTTAAAAGTATTGATGCCACCACTGCTGATTATTATGAGCTTCTCACAACAAACTGTTGGAGAGTTTCACCTCCTTCCCTTGAAGAATATTTGAAAAAAATCCAAATTTCACTGCCTATGAATAGGATTGAAATTCTCATCCCTTTCATTCTCCCCCCCCAAAAAAAGTATCCCCCCCTTTGATAAAATAGGGACAGCTTTCTACTACTTTCTTAGAGTGGACAGAAATCTCTTTGAAATGCTCAGGGAAAGGGTTGATTATAAGTTTCCCAGATAATTAACATTCAAATAAAATATAAGGGGCTTTCCTCACTGAGAAAACTATTATAACTGGAAAGAACAGGTCTTGGGTTTATTCTGATGCTTATTGTGAGTCTGTCTAAGAAGGCAAATTCTATTCTTTCTCTTGGTATTGAAACTACCCATGTGATATTGCAATGTGCTTTTCAAATTACTTTGGTGCTGTTTGACTAGCTCAAGCAAAAGTTGGATGTATGGAATTAACTGCATGGATCTTTGGACTGAGGCATTAAAATAGCATTTGCTGCCATAAGCTTCACTGGCAGGAAAATACTACTGCTGCTGCTGCTGCTGTTGTTGTTGTTGTTGTTTTAAAAAGTATTAGCATTTTATTTGTCTTGCCATTTTATCACATTTTAAGTTCTTTTACAGGTTTAACAATAGAGAACTGTTAGTATACTTTCTGAAATATAGTTTTGATGATGTTTCAAACTTCTTGGACATAAATGAGGTTGGGTTAGAGTACGGCTTTGCCACCTTTCTTATGGGTTAATCATTTGGCATGGCATGCGCTTGTTCCTCGTTTCTTCCCCTCCCCCTATTTTGAATTAAATTTGCAATAGCTTTCTATTAATCCAAAATTACAAATCATTTTTCTGCATATAAGGAAAATAAAACAGAATATAAAAGTTACAGATCTTGAGAGGATATGGTAATAATAACAACAAGTTTCACCAGTACAAGAAAGTAGGATAGTCAAGTTAAAGCAGGTAAGTAATTCTGATTGCCAATGCCCTCTTGATCTCTGTCCCTGTGATCTGGAAATGCATCAGTCCATGGCCCAAAATGACAATGCAGTTTCTCTTCTCTGGGTCCAGGTGGCATCTGAGCCAAGGCTCCTAGAAAATATTGCTGTTGATGACCTGTTGAAAAGCTCTCTGTAGCTATGATTTTTATATATTTGGTGATGATGAATCAGAGGAATGTGGGAAGTTGCCTTATACTGAGACAACACATTGTCCCATTGTGTTCAGTGTTGTTCTGGAAGGTTTATCACCTGATCAGATTAGATCAAGAGACAAAGCTGTTGTGGGGTTGCCATGGCACATTCTGCAACTTGGCAACCAACCCATGGGTCACATTTTAACTTTGATCTACGCATTGACTCATAGCTTATAGACTAGGCACATGAGATGATCTTATAGCATCACAGAGTTGGAAGGGATTTTTTGGCACTTCCTGCAACTTGGTGGGCTGCATCGAACCCATGGATCATGGGTTAACCTTGGGCTACATACTGATTCATAGCTTGTAGACTAGGCATAGTGGATGATGATCTTATAGAATCATAGAGTTGGAAGGGAACCTGATGATCATCTAATCCAGGCATAGGCAAACTTGACCCTCCAGATGTTTTGGGATTACAACTCCCATCATCCCTAGCTAACAGGACCAGTGGTCAGGGATGATGGGAGTTGTAGTCCCAAAACAGCTGGAGGGCCAAGTTTGGCTATGCCTGATCTAATCCAACCTCCTGCAATGCAGGAATATGCAGCTGTCAATAATAATAATAATAATACATTATTTATAACCTGTCCATCTGGCTGGGCTTCCTAGCCACTCTGGGCGGCTTCCAACAAAATATTAAAATGCAGTAATGCATCAAACATTAAAAGATGTCTTCTAAAAGGCTGGTAGTTCTTGTTCTCTTTGACATCTGGTGGGAGGGTGTTCCACAGGATAGGTGCCATTACCGAGAAGGCCCTCTGCCTGGTTCCCTGTAATGTGGCTTCTTGCACTAAGGGAACCGCCAGCAGGCCCTCAGTGCTGGACCTCAGTGTCCGGGTAGAATGATGGGGGTGGAGATGCTCCTTCAGATATACTGGACCGAGGCCATTTAGGGCTTTAAAGGTCAGAACCAACACTTTGAATTGTACTCGGAAATGTACTGGGAGCCAATGTAGGTATTTCAAGACACGTGTTATGTGGTCTCGGCGGCCGCTCCCAGTCACCAGTCTAGCTGCCGTATTCTGGATTAGCTGTAGTTTCCGGGTCACCTTCAAAGGTAGCCCCACAAAGAGCACATTGCAGTAGTCCAAGTGGGAGATAACCATAGCATGCACCACTCTGGCGAGACAGTCTGCAGGCAGATAAGAGTCTCAGCCTGTGTACCAGATGGAGCTGGTAGACAGCTGCCCTGGACACAGAATTGACCTGCGCCTCCATGGACAGCTGCGAGCCCAAAATGACTCCCAGGCTGCGTACCTGGTCCTTCAGGGGCACAGTTACCCCATTCAGGACCAGGAGGGCCGCTTCCTGTCCCCCCAAAACAGTACTTCTGTCTTGTCCTTACGAGGATTGAACCTGAAACCTTGGTGTTATCTAACCAACTGAGCTCTTTTGTGCCAACTGCTGTTGAGGGTCTCCAGAAGAGGTCCCTGAGATGCAAAGGAATGCACCTGGAACTTTTGCACACAAAGAATGTGAGCCATATCACATTCTCCAAAGGGAAGCTGCTGTACCCATGACATCTCCCTGCAGGACATCTAGAAACCCAAGGCAGAATGTTGAGAAGTTACCTGAGTGTGAATGATAACTAATTTGTGGATGAGGGGGGAAAGAACCTTGGCTAACATTTACAAGGCAGCTGCCTGGCACTTCTGGAATATCTCTCAAGCCGTTTAAAGGTACGATAAGGCAGCCTTAGCCAGTGCTGTGCTTGGCAGGGCAGTACTGGAAGCAATTTGTATTACTCCTCTCCTTTTCTCTCTTTGGCACAGTTTTGATTTTATATGCATTTCCCCCCCCATTTCCACACTTTGTTAAACAAAGTCATACTTGGATGGGCATTTTGGTTTTGATTTACATGTCAAATGGTGCTGATTCTGAGAGCCGGCAATTATAATTTAAACACAGGCAAACAATAACACACGTCTAAATGTGTCACCTTTGAATGGCTTCTGAAAGATGCTTAGCACCCATTCAAACTCTCAGAAACTAGCAAAAGCCCCCTAGAGTCACTTTAATAATTTCAGAAGGTAAGAAGAGGGTCAAATATGATGTCTGCTCTCTCACATGGAAAGTTATCACATCAACAGAGTGTTTGGGGTCAGTGAGTATTGAAACCTGCAGTTTCAAGTGGAACAGACCTAGGAAGACTGTAATGTGTGTGAATGAATCCAAGGTTCTTCTGAGAAGAAGAAAAAGAGTTTGGATTTGATATCCCGCTTTATCACTACCCTAAGGAGTCTCGAAGCAGCTAACATTCTCCTTTCCCTTCCTCCCCCGCAACAAACACTCTGTGAGGTGAGCGAGGCTGAGAGACTTCAGAGAAGTGTGACTAGCCCAAGGTCACCCAGCAGCTGCATGTGGAGGAGCGGGGAAGTGAACCCGGTTCACCAGATTATGAGTCCACCGCTCTTAACCACTACACCACACTGGCTCTCTGGAAGAGTCTTGTGGATGGCTGGGACAACCATGAATGTAGACATCCGTGACACCCCTTAAGGCCACCAAATGCTGCCCCAAAACTAATTAATGAGCTGCCATCACTTGATGTTGCTGGTTGTGGTTCGGTATCCTCTATCAAAACAAAAACAAACTGTGGACCCCAAGATGTGTGGTCAAAGCCATCCACTTGAATTTAATAAAGAACTCTGCAGTTATTTGGTTATAAACTATGCAGAAAAAAGTCTTTAAAAGTGAATTCCACTAAGGAAATCAGAAACTTATAGAATTTGAAATATGAAGAAAAGACAAAATAATCCTAAGGCATTGCTAAGGTTGGTTTTGGTTTTTTGGTTTTTGCCTGGCTTCTTGATTTGAGACAGGACACACCTATTTTGTTGAGTTCCAGAGAAAACAAAATTTAAATTCCTAAGTGATCTTTTAAAAAGTCCTAATGGCTCTGAACAGTGGCATAGCATAGGTTGCCAGTGCCTGGGGTGGGGGCTCATGTGTGCCAGGTGAGGGGGGGCTGCTAGCTCAGCTCTTACCGCCGACACTGCTGGAGAGAGCTTATCCCCACTGGAGAAAATCAGGGCTGTGCTAAGCCTCCTAGTTTACGACACCGTCCCCAATTGTGCTCCCAGGGCAATAGCCCCCTGGCACCCACAATGCTATGCTCCTGGCTCCGAGCTCTCTCAGGAAGTAGTACGATATAATTTCCTTTTCAAAGATAGGAAACTAAGCCAACAGAACTTACTCTTTCACTCACTCAGACCTTACTATCCAATCAAATGCAAATAATGTGTTACCCAATCCATTTGAGCACTGGAAAGCAGGGTCAATGGGAATAGGAGATTGCCCTCCAATCTGTGAACAGGCAAATTGATGTCACCACTTTCTTTGTTACTACCCCTCGTATATAGGTATATATACCTAAACCACATGTAGAAGCTGGCCCAAGAGAAAGCTTCTGGTCACAAGGAGAGAAATGTGAGTTTTTTGTGACCTTTCGAGAAATGGGGGATTTTCACAGATGGTTCCAAACCTAGTACAGTGGTACCTCGGGTTACGAACTTAATTTGTTCCGAAGGTCCGTTCTTAACCCAAAACCGTTCTTAACCTGAGGTGCGCTTTCGTTAATGGGGCCTCCCACTTCTGCTGCGCCGCCAGTGCACGATTTCCCTTCTCATCTTGGGGCAAAGTTCTCAACCCAAGGTACTACTTCCGGGATAGTGGAGTTTGTAACCCGAAGTGTTTGTAACCCGAAGCGTTTGTAACTAGAGGTACCACTAGAATTAGCTATGGTGAATTCTCATCTGCAGACCCCCTACCCTTCAGGAAATTAGGCAAAGAACACAACCCCAAAGACAACTCTATCTACTGCACCTTGTAATGTGGACTTGAAACACTGCGAAGAAGTTTGTTTCAATTCCCCAGCTCTTTTAAAACTATATTCTTGAATCAGTAAATTATGAAAAGCCCGGTGTTGCATCACTTTGGAGAACTTTCATAATGAACTGCTGAGTTGCATATGATGGGAGGCCGATAGCTGCTTTCTGAACCTGCTGAAGAGTTCAAATATAGTCTAGGGTAGGCTGGCAAAGGCATGGATGATAACCGCAAGATCTGAAGCTGTGCAAAACTGCTGCCCCGTTCTCGCAAGAAAGGGATGATGAACTGTGTTTGCATGTCTGGAGGCTTTCAAAACTGCTGCTGCTTCCGCCTTTTCCTGAGATCCATGACAGGATATTATCTGCATCCTTCGCTGTGTGTAGGTAGTCAGAAAGCAGAAATTTATGAGGGGATTGCTTCATTCTGGAGACATCTCTGTTTTTTTCCTGAGGACATTTGGGTCATTATTAATAAAGATCTATTAGACACATTGATTGCCACTGTCTGCTTTTGGCAGCTAGTTAGATGATCCTCCTTTCCCTCATAAATAGTGTTGCTTCGGGCCTCTGGTATAAATAAGCAACGGGCACATTATTTAGGAGTTGGCTTTGTTAAGCTGTGTCATATCTTATTAAAAGCAAGTCCCAACAAATGAATGCTGAAGCCTCGGCACTGCCAATGAGTCAATGGCTAGTGCCAATCACCGTCAAAGCAACCTATGGGTCCTCAGCACATCTTTCCTCATCAGAGAACAGCTTGATTGCTATTCTTATGAGAGCCACTTACTTCCCCTCCCCATTTCCACTCCAGCTACAATACGAAACCCCATAGGTATCTGCTACACCACAAATGAATGATGGATTAATTCCCCTGCAGTAGAAATATCTTACAAAAAACGGGTTCCCCAGGCTTGTATTGAACTTTCAGGCTACCAGTCTTGCTTTGTAGGGATTCGCTGGAAAGACTTCACCATGGCATGATAAGGTACGGTGTGCTGAGGGAAAGCCTAATTAGATTTGACATTTTAATTGGAGAATGATAAATGTCCTTCACCAAACTTTCTTGAAACTGTTCACAGGTGACTGATTATGGAGTAGCATTAATCCACTGTAGCCTCTAGGTATCCTGTGGAAATCTTCTTAGCTACAAGCTAGAGAACATAAAACTTTTTTCATCTACTTTTTGCATCAGCATGGAAGGCACAATTTTGTCCGCACTATCGTTGCTACTTAACATGATGATTAAAGTAGATTTGTTCTCCACCATACAAGGTCTTGTTATATCTTCCTTATCTTATAAGACCTACAGAGAATCCTGTGCACAGGGTGTAGCAATTTGTTCTCCCAGCCACCTAATGCATTGCCAAGCGCAAAGGAGATTTGAACTATGATTCTCACATCAAAAGCAAACCCTTTGCTTATCCTAATGCATTACACTGATGTCTGTACCACAGGGTGATTTTTCATACTTCATCAGACTTGGAACTGAAAGGAACACATAGTGGCTAAAGGTCTATGGGGCACAGGGAGCTTGTACAGTGGTACCTTGGTTCTCAAACTTAATCTGTTCCGGAAGTCCATTCCAAAACCAAAGCGTTCCAAAAGCAAGGCACTCTTTCCCATAGAAAGTAATGCAAAACGGATTAATGTTGCTTTGGACTTTGGAAAAATCAACCCCTAAAACAGCAATTTAACATGAATTTTACTCTCTAACGAGACCATTGATCCATAAATGAAAGCAATAATCAATGAATTGTACTATAAAATAGAGAAGACAGTATTGTAGATGATAAAATTTGAAATTAATTGATAGTCATTGTTTGGATAGGGTTTTTATCCATTTCCACAGTCACACAATCAATCAATAGCTGAACTGGGTTCCATAGTGTCACATTTCGGAAGTCAACCAGATAAAGTTTGGTGCTCTTTTTTTTTTTTTTTGCTATTTATTTTGGGTTTTGGTTTTTGAGGCTTTTTCGGTTAATTTGTTTTGTTTTGTCTTGAGCAGACAAGACCATTGTGGGGTCCAACAGTCAAGAAGGTGGTTTCTACATGAGCTGTAAAGGAATGTGAGAGATTTGGTCAAATCCAGCACATTGGCCTGTTGTTGTCATTTAGTCGTTTAGTTGTGTCCAACTCTTTGTGACCCCATGGACCAAAGCACGCCAGGCACTCCTGTCTTCCACTGCCTCCCACAGTTTGGTCAAACTCATGCTGGTAGCTTCGAGAACAGTGTCCAACCATCTCGTCCTCTGTCGTCCCCTTCTCCTTGTGCCCTCCATCTTTCCCAACATCAGGGTCTTTTCCAGGGAGTCTTCTCTTCTCATGAGGTGCCTCAGCTTCAGGATCTGTCCTTCCAGTGAGCACTTAGGGTTGATTTCCTTAAGAATGGATAGGTTTGATCTTCTTGCAGTCCATGGGACTCTCAAGAGTCTCCTCCAGCACCATAATTCAAAAGCATCAATTCTTCGGCGATCAGCCTTCTTTATGGTCCAGCTCTCACTTCCATACATCACTACTGGGAAAGCCATAGCTTTAACTATACGGACCTTTGTTGGCAAGGTGATGTCTCTGCTTTTTAAGATGCTTTTTAAGATGTTTGTCATTGCTTTTCCCCCAAGAAGCAGGCATCTCATATCAGGAGGGTGCTGTCATGGCTCCAACCCACCACACCTGGAATAACATCCTAGCAAGGGGGAGGCTTTGCCCCATCCATTAGCCAGAAAAGCAGTAGCCGCAGGGAGTTTGCATTACTCCTCCCTGCCAGAAAGTACCTGTATTGGAACATATTCTGGAAGATCTTTGTATTTTGAGGTTAGGAATGGTGCACAGCAATTTCCCTTTTAATGCCCAAGCACAGTTATAGTACTGTAGGCTTGTAGACTGAAAAACTAGTAGCATTGTCAGAAAATCTGCTGGCTATGGGGGCAACCCTCTCCAATTCTGTTAAAGAATTTAACTGAGCAAAAGAAAAAAAGAATCCAATTGAGGCTGACAATAGCAATTATCCTGTTTATCAGTGAAGTGTGAAACATGCCCATATTCAGAGGCCTTTGGTGTGAACTACAGTATACATACCAATGCTTTAGATATTCAGAAACATCACCAGTTGTTAGCCAGCTAAACTGCTTGATGTAAATTTTCAACAGATAACACCCACTTCAGTTTATATATAAATTATGATACTCACAAAACCAGCTGACGTAGCCAAACACACACATTTATTTATTTTAAAGCATCTTTCAAGTGAAATCATGTTCTCCTCCAGAAACAAAATTGTAAAATATGCGAATGCTATGTTTTATTCATTACTTTCTCGTAATCCCCTTATCAACAGCCTAAAATAATGAGAAAGCAGATCTATGAAATACAATAGACCAGTCTTAACCGAAGTAAAGATATTATGTCGCCATTGCTAAACATTGCTAAAATGACAAATCATCTGCTATCTCCAGGATGGATTGCCGCTTTTTCTACAGGGTGTATTGTGCCGAAATGCCCCTTAGTCATTTGCTATTTTTATCTTCTGTTCTCCACTCAGTGTTTTCTAAAGAAAACAAAACAGGCTTAACCTTCATAATCTAACATTCTAACAGGAAAAAAGAGAAAACTGTTAACACATACTACCTTTTCTAGCAGTACAGAAGGAATGGGGAGAACACCTTTCTAGTTTTTGGTTAATTGGCTTCTTCTTCAGGTTGGCAAATGATCAACACAGCATAGTCTTCATCATGTTTACTCAGAAGTAAGTCCCACTGAGTTCACTAAAGTTTACACCCAGGCAAGCAATGCAGCCAGAATCTCCAGAAGGAAGCTGTCTCTTCAGAGAGGTCCTAGCAATAAATTATTATTAACTATAAATTATCATCATCATCACCACCATCACTATCATCTAATTTTATATATATATATATATATATATTTCATTACACCCTGAAAGGGTCTTGAGATGACTGATCACCAGTTAGGAACTGCACAATATATGTGTACAATTATATTGCAATTTATTTATTCATTGTCAACTGAAAAGGAAGCTCACTTTGTCTTCTTATGGTATTTTTAAAGACATGATTTTATTTTTTTCTACAGCAGAAAAAGAGAAACATGGCTTCTCAAGCTGGACCCTTTTTGGAAGAGAGGTTGCCTCTATCAAGCCACATGGTAAGAGTTACAGCCTCCCCCACACACACACACACTTTTGCAACACCCACCCATCACCGGATGCAGCCCCTGAAATGTTCCCCACTGAAGAACTTGATCTTCAGACTGAAAATGGGTCCCCAGTCTTGAATCTCTAATCCCATGCAGGTAATCAAGAAACATCAGTTTAGCAAAAGACCAACTAAGATGGCACCCATGCTATTGTACATAATCGGGATTACCGTCTGGTTAGGATCCCATTTTGGTTGAGCTAACTGGTGTTTCCATGTGAGGGCATACAACCACTTTCATTTGTGCAACCCTGAAAGCTTCAAATAGGGCTGCCAATGACACCAGCATATGTCTCTCCACCTCACAGCAGCAATGGTTCATACTGCCAATGCTGGAACAAGGTCTCAGCTAGGAAAGCATTGTGCCAGTACCCCATGGAACTCAACAAGTGTTGGTCCTGACCTTTAAAGCCTTTAAAGCCCTAAATGGCATCTCCACCCCTATTGTTCAGCCCAGACACTGAAGTCCACTTGCAAGTTTCTCACTGCAAGAAGTGAAGTTGCAGGGAACCAGGCAGAGAGCCTTCTTGGTAGTGGCACCCACCCTGTGGAACACCCTCCCATCATATATCAAGGAGATAAAGAACTACACAACTTTTAGAAGACATCTGAAGCCAGCCCTGTATCAGGAAGCTTTTAATATTTGATGTTTTATTATGTTTTAATATGCTGGAAGTCACCCAGAGTGGCTGGGGAAAACCAGCAAGATGGGTGGAATATTATTATTATTATTATTATTATTATTATTATTATTATGCAACCACACTGGGCCAAAGGGGATGTGTGTGGAATCAGTTTTACAAAGAGAAATCTGCAGCCTGCTGCAATCTACTTCTTCTGCTTGTGTTCATTCCCGTAATCTTAAAAAAACCACAACACACCACATCTTCCCAAATTTCAGTTTCATTGCATTATTTATGGTAGAATAATGAATGCAATGCAGTTAAACTCCTACCTACGGGAGGTTTGTTTTTTGTTTTTAATACACAAACACTTTATCTTTGTGTTTTTCAAAAACCATCGGGTTAAGGGTGTGTAAGTGAACATAAAAATTGTTTGTCAGCATTCAGCGAATGCTATGATATTAATCTCACTTTAATGTGGTAGTGTAAATCGACCCTAACAAGCTGATCCAGCTGTTAAATACAAATTGGCATATAAATGCTTACTCAGAAACTATAAGACTTTTTATTATTTTGACTAATGACTACTAATTTGGGGTACTTGTCCTCTTGACCTTCATGTTATATATCAACATGCCAGTCCTGGTCCAGTGTTTTTTTCAATATTCATACCAGTGACTCTGGTGTATATTAAGCTTATAAAGATCACCAGTCTCACACGGTGTTCTTGTTCCATGCATGGAAGGGCCACTGTGTGCCTGAAACAACTCTTGGTACATTCACAATACCCCGTGGAGTTCTGGGTATGGTGCCAATCTAACCATCAGTGTCTCACCTTGGCTGGGGGAGCATGGCCTGGTGATAGGGTGAATGGGAAAAGTTTCAAGGGACAAACAGAAACTCTTGGGGCACATATTTGACCCTAGGCCTGAGATTCCTCACCCTGAGCCACCCTGAGCCAAGACCTTTGGAATTGTATCCAGGAATGATTCGAAGGTGGATTCAGATGAGACAATGTGATGCATTCACTATAAACCCAGACACAAGCTTTGAGCACCTGGTAAATTTCCAAATGTTTTTCAAAGTTAAGGCTTGGCCAAATTGCCCACCTCATTTCCCCCAAAGTATTATCCTCCTGGAAAAACAGGAGCTAACCCCCCTCCCGCTAGTTTCTTGAAGGATGGGGAAAATATCTCAGGAACGTTCTGTTAAGTTGTGGGTGAACATATCAGACGACACAGCGATTCTTCCAAAGCAGCTCTTTATTTGTAAGCTGGAACAGAACTGAACTGAGGAGCTCAGTCAGCCTGCTTATATAGAGCTCCACTAGAATGCAACAGTAAACATTTTCTGTAACTAGCCAATCACTGAACGTCACTTTCGATCCTTCATTTGCATACAAACTATCCAATCACTGAACGTCACTTTCAATCCTTCATTTGCATAACTATCTATAGTATCCCCCTGCTGGCCCAGGGTGAGAACTTCAGTACATAACACGTTCAGGAGGTTAGGCTGCCATTTACCATCCTGAATGTGACTAGGAAGTGTGGCTGCAGGAAGCAGTGGCGAGAACCACATTCCATTTCCCAAAATGCCTTGGGGTTGGTTTCATGTGAGGTGGTGTGGTGTGGTGTGGTGTGGTGTCATGCCCTGGCCTTCCATGAAGCTGTGGAGAGAGTCTTGTATCACTGTAAGTAGTGTGGGGCTGCTCCTCCTTTTTAAGACAAGGGTTGGAGAATGGAAAGCCCTAGGCCACCTCATAAGGCTAAGTAAAGCAAGGAGCAACATCTTCCAGGAAATGTTCAGATAATTTCTTCCCAACTGCCCTCCGTTCTTTTTTTCAGGAGGGTTTCATTTTGCCCCTAGTAGCTCAACAAATGGATAAAAGGCCCCCTCTCAAAATGATCAGCAGATGCCTCCAGTACTCTAACCATTTGATCATGACAATCATGAACTAGGGAAGATCTGCCTTTTCCTGGAAGAGTAGTAGCAGGAGCAGGTCTGCAGCAGTGCAAAAGCAACATGTTTGCTAAGTAGCCAAGTCTCCGCTGAAAAATATATAATGGACAGTGAGAATTGGGTCCATACATAGGAAAGAAATACAGATAGGTACATTGACCCTGAATCTGTTCTGTGCACAAGAGAGGTGTGATGCATGCAGTAACCAAAGAGGAGGAGGAGGAGGAGAAGAAGAGGAAGAAGAAGAAGAAGAAGAAGAAGAAGAAGAAGAAGAAGAAGGTAAGAAGGTGATAAAGGACCCCTGGACAGTTAAGTCCAGTTGAATTCAACTATGGGGTGCAGCGCTCATCTCACTTTCAGGCCAAGGGAGCCAGCGTTTTTCCGCAGACAGCTTTCCGGGTCAAATGGCCAGCATGCTTAAACCACTTCCGGCTCAATGGGACACCGTGACGGAAGCCAGAGCGCACAGAAACGTACAAATAATAATATTTATACCGTGCCCATCTGACTGGGTTGCCCCGGCCCCTCTGGGCAGCTTCCAACACATATAAAAATATAATAAAATATTACACATTACAAAGTTTCCCTATAAAGGGTTGCCTTCAGATGTCCTCTAAATCTCAGAAGGCTTATAGGAACTTGCCACAGGTGGAATGCAGTGTGAATCCTGAGGATCGTGGTGAACACTTTTAGTTAGGTGACCTATACATTTATAAGCAAGGATATAATTACTGTTATTAGTAGCGTGCGAAGCAATCTGGAAAATGATGTTCCAGAAAGTCTTGATTGGGCTAAAACAGGTGGCTTCTGGGGCAAGTGACTATCTAAACTATTTAGCTTTGGGGAAGGGAACTACAAACTACTGACCACTTGTTAAGCGGATATATTTACCAGCAAGTGGATATGTGAGTTCTTGTCAGGGTGATTCTTAACCTTGCAGTGGTGCAATTTAGCAAGATAACATGCAAAGAGTAGTAATTAGAGCTTCTACCTGGAAATATCCTTCCCTGCTACCGAATGAAAATTGAAATTTCTGTCCAGAGCCATCATTACATCCTTGTTGTGGTAAATCCAAGGCTTTGAATCCATTAACCTTTCATTGTATGGCGCTACCATCCAGTGCTAAAGATTAGCTACTGACACATTTATCAAAGGATGATAAATGAGCTGTCCTTTTAGATGTCTGATTATTTGACCTTTATTCAGTTAAAAGCAAAAGGAGCTGACGATGTTAAGTGGCTGCCAGTTTAGAATGAAATTGAAACCTAGGAAATGAATGCTTGGAATTGTCTTCAGTGGTGTGAAGTTAGGCCATCAATTTAAGTTTAAATTAAACAAAACAAAATCAGATGTAAACCGTTATTTCATTAATGCGGTTGTTATGGAGAAAAACAGAAGTGCCATGTTATTTTAGACGGCCTTTCTCTTTCGCAGAGAACCAAATCCATTAATGTTCCTGACTATCACTTGGCAAGTCCTGAGTTCTAAAAACAACCTTAGGAAGAAAGTAATTCCCCTCCCTGCCATTATGCACTTAATAAGAGCTGTCTGACGAGAGAAGCACATGAAACCACAACATAATAGTTTGTAGTTTTTAAACAGAATGGAAAATGCTAGCTGGCTCCATGCTTGATGCAGTTAAACATCTCGAACCATATTATCCATCTTGCTTTAAGACTTGATCGCATTTCTATTGACTGAATCAATTTCATACACTTTCATGGCAATGGCCAAGGTTAATCCGATTAATAAATAAGAATAACACTTTAATTCTGTTTATAGAGATGAAAACATGTTGAATAAATAGTCAATAATTATGAAAAGCCTGTAGGACCTTTATTATTAGCTAGAGATAATAACACAAAACACAGACCTCCCCCCCCAAAAAAATCTATGTAGCTTTTTTATGTTAAAATAATTATCTATGTTCTCACCGTTCCAGAAGCATGCTGTAATATGCCCAGAGGAAGGAAGGCATGGCACTGAACTGAGATCCATGGAAATTTGCATAGCCAATGCAAATGTGCAGGTTTTCATTAAGATACATCTATTCCCTGCCTAGATGAGTATTTTATCTAAATGAACTACAGTGCATACAGAAATTCTATCAAGTTTAATTTAAAATGCTATTATGAAACTGATATGCAGCATTGTTGCTAACCCAGGTGGTTAGTTAAAGCAGAGTATCTCTGCATTAAGATACCGGCTTTATTCAGAAGGAAAGAAAAAAATAAATCAAAACCAGGAAAGATAACAAGGCCCAATTTCACTCTTCATGAGACCCTTGGATGCAACATAGCTCATGGAATTGTTGACCACTACTCATGGTTTGTTGGACGTAATTAATGTTGATCTGTTTAGCTTGCTTCTGTTCTGGAAAGAAGGCACACCTAGTAGTGATGGTGGTGGTGGTGAATAACTTTATTTTAGAGATTTATAACCAGTCTTTCAATAAGGACTACTGGACCAAGTTGAAGATCCTTGTATTAATGTACAAAGCCCTGAGCAACTTAGGTCCATAATACCTCAAAGGTAAAGGGACCCCTGACTGTTAAGTCCAGTCGAGGACGACTCTGGGGTTGCGGAGCTCAACTTGCTTTACTGGCCGAGGGAGCCGGTGTTTGTCCACAGATAAATAGGTACTGCTTCGCCAGGAAGGTAAACGGTGTTTCCGTGAGCTGCTCTGGTTTGCCAGAAGTGGCTTAGTCATGCTGGCCACCACTGGCGGAGGAAGAGGATTGTGGGGGGTGCAACCCGCACCCGGCAGTGTGATCCCGGTAGGGTGCCATCGTGGCTGCCCCCCCACCAGCGATGGACACCATGCCCCTGCAGGGGGCGTGCCCCACCCCAGGACGCACGCCCCACCCCACCTGCTCTCCACCCCCCAGTGCCAGATCATGAAGCTCCGCCACTGCTGGCCACATGATTTTCTTTTATGAAAATCTAAACCCTTTACCTCTTCCATTTTGTCCAGAATTCACCCTTAAACTACTAGTGGTATTCCAATCCTACTAATGATTTTAACTGTTTATGATAAGTTATAAAATTTCCTCCTTTCTTGTTAAAATTTTGGTCTTCCTGATTTCTGAGTCTTCTGGTCATTTTAGCCATTTCAGCATAGTCCATCTTCATCTGCCATTCTTCTCTGGTAGGAACTTTATCTTCTTTCCATCTCTGGGCCAGTAACATCGGTGCAGCCATGGTCACAGATGGAGGAATCTTTCCTGACATGAAATGGTTTCATGTTAGCTGCTGGGGGGGGGGGGACTATTGATGAACCTTGAAGTGCAAATCTGCCTTCTGAGCAATTTCAGGTCCAAACGCAGAGCAATTGCCTATTGGTCTTCTCCAGTCCAAGCCAACATATACAGTCCTGAGAATGAATGGTGGTGGTGAGGGAATATGTGATGGTCAAAATTGGCATTCTAGTTCTTGTGGGAATTTCATTTCCACCCAAACTTGGAGAACTCAGCAGAAATCACCTGAAGTGAAATCCGACTTCTGCGCAGAAACTGCACATATTTTAAAAAGTGTCATTCCACAGAGATAATTAATGCCTGATTCGTGCGCTACTCAATGCGGGTTCCATTTCTCCATGTTATGTAAGAAACATATAAAGTAAGTGCTGGTCCTTACTGGTGCTGGTGGGCAGTGGTAGCATGAAGGAAGATTGCCATCAGTGTCACCAAAGCTGACATGGGAACTTCCTATGGTATCAGTTCTTCTCATACAATTGCCTCATGTATTAACCCAGTACTGTAATTTTCATGCAAAGGCCTTGCCTCGCGCAATCACAAGTGTCTCTGTTTTTCAGGGAAAGTCCTGGATTTACAGAAGCCACCCTGGTTTCTGATTTGATCCTGGAATGTCCCACTTTCCCTTAGGATGTCCCTATTTTCATTGGAGAAATGTTGGAGGCTATTGGTAGGAAGTCCCTAGTTTCATGGGAGAAATGTTGGAGGGTATGGATTTATGCGACCCTCTGAACCAAGGAGATTAAGTAAGTATACAACTTTTAGAAGACAGCTAAAGGCAGCCCTGGATACTGAAGTTTTTAAAAGTTTAATGTTTTGTTATGTTTTTATATCTGCCCAGTCAGATGGGCAGGATATAAATAATGAAATTATTATTATTATGGAATAGGACATGGGTAGGCAAACTAAGGCCTGGGGGCCGGATCCAGCCCAATTGCATTCTAAATCCGGCCCATGGATGGTCCAGGAATCAGCGTGTTTTTACATGAATAGAATGTGTCCTCTGGGTTATTTGTGGGGCCTGCCTGGTGTTTTTACATGAGTAGAATGTGTCCTTTTATTTAAAATGCATCTCTGGGTTATTTGTGGGGCATAGGAATTTGTTCATTTTTTTCCTTCAAAATATAGTCCGGCCCCCCACAAGGTCTGAGGGACAGTGGACCGGCCCCTTGCTGAAAAAGTTTACTGACCCCTGGAATAGGACATCCTTCTTTTCATTGGAGAAATGTTGGAGCGTATGCATTCACAATGTTTTACTTAAAAAATGAGATCATACAGTGATGACATGGAGACTATACCATTGTACGACCATAGATCTGAATTAGCCAACAAGAGACATGCACGTAAAATTAAAAATGAAGGTGGCATTTTCAGTGAAGCGGGGGAATCATGCAATCCAAATACAGACAGCAAACTATAACCCCCAGAAGCAAAATGCTAATATAAATCATCAATAGCGTGGAAGCCATAAAAGGAGTTATGGCAAGTATTATTGATGAAAGGAACAAACTGTCATAGAGAGTAAATGCCACGTGAAAACCTACTCCACCATTTAGCCCTAAAACAAAGAACAAATATATAATAGGTGGTGTCCATTGCTGATTTATGACTCTTATAACTGACGTACTGCAGCAAAGTTGGGGGAAAAAGAAGTTTACCCTAGGCGCTGTTGCTAAGATTCCATCTTCTGCGGTATATTCTTTTAGGCAAAGATTTTAAAATCTTTGCCTGCTGAAATTATTCACTTTTACAAAATACCAATGACTTTATCTGGCAACAACAAAACAAACTGGCGCCTGTGTTTAGATAGTTTGGCATCAACAAATGATACCATGTCTTACATGATCAAGATAGCAATCTATAACATCAGCTCCAGGCACAGTTCTCATAGAAGAATAAATAACCCAAAACGATTCCAGGCAGGAACCACGGGGGTTTGAAAGTCTCTTCCATTGCTTATTTTCTTTTCCCCAATTAGAACTCTGTTATGAACAAAACAAAAACAAAAAACACCCTCAAGTTAGAGAACTAAATTGCAAAATAATAATTGCCAATAACTTGGTCTCTGTTCAGAGCTGGGAGATGACTAATAAGATATTCCAAAGGTATAAATATTTGGAATTTTGGAATTCCAATTTTGTTGCTGGTTATTAATTGCCTGGAATAAAGAAATGGTTTTCTGACTCATTATTGTGGATCTCTGGGAAACAGGAAAAGGGAGAGTCAAAGAATTTCAAGCAGCTGCAAATTATATTGAAAACGCCAACCCCCTATTCCCCTGAGATTTGCAATACCAGTTTGGAATGAGATTGCTATATTTAGGACATCAATCATAGAGAATTATTGAGTTGTAGCATTGGAAAGGACCCTAAGGATCATCTAGTCCACCCCCCCCGAAATGTGGGAAGATGCAATTGTCCCATCCTCAGGTTTGAGTATGGCCCATTTAAGGGTGGAGACAAAATCACTCGCCACCTGAGATAATTCTGTCCAGCGCCAGTATGTTTAGAAACAGAGTCCACCAGAAACAGATGGTCAAGTTGTAGCTAAGCCATATATGGAGGACTAGTTGAAGGAGAAATGTGGTTCTCCTTTGACATTTCGAAAGTCCCAGACATCTTAAGGTGAATCTACCTAACTTTCATTTCCCCAAACAATCCATCTTTTGAAATTTGCTCTTCCCAAAATTTTGTGATGCACTTTTCCAGCCAAGTAATGTGTACTAAAATTATATTACTAGGGTAAGGTATAGAAATGTGTATATTAGTGAAAATAACATAGGAACGTGAGGAGCAGAGCTTTTGTAAAAATGTGTATATTTGGCAAAAGTGCATACAAAATATTGGAAGAAATTTGTGTTAAATAGTTGATGAATTTTCACGATGATTTTTTTAAAAGGCGAACTGATATGGAAATGCAGATTGAACATAAGACTGGGAAACTAAGTAACTGAGTGTGCATAATAATAATAATAATAATAATAATAATAATAATAATAAATTTTATTTATATCCCGCCCTCCCCAGCCGAAGCCGGGCTCAGGGCGGCTAACAATAATAAAACAGTACAAAAGTACAGCATAAGCAACATTTTAAAATCATTCATTATAAAATTAATTAATTCAAGCCACTGGCAACCATTGGGCCAGAGCTCCGCGAAGATTGTCGAGGGAGGGAGTCAGGCTGTGCCCTGGCCAAAGGCCTGGTGGAACAGCTCTGTCTTGCAGGCCCTGCGGAAAGATGTCAAGTCCCACAGGGCCCTGGTCTCTTGTGACAGAGTGTTCCACCAGATCGGAGCCACAGCCGAAAAAGCCCTGGCTCTAGTTGAGGCCAGCCTAACTTCTCTGTGGCCTGGGACCTTCAAGATGTTTTTATTTGAAGACCGTAAGTTTCTCTGTGGGGCATACCAGGAGAGGCGGTCCCGTAGGTACGAGGGTCCTAGGCCGTATAGGGCTTTAAAGGTTAAAACCAGCTACTTAAACCTGATCCTGTACTCCACCGGGAGCCAGTGCAGCTGGTATAGCACTGGGTGAATGTGATCTCGCAGCGAAGACCTAGTAAGGAGTCTCGCTGCAGCATTCATACATATGCAGAGGATTCAATTGTTTTCCTTAATAAAGTGAAAATATTTTGTTTGGCGGGTGAAAGCTGCACACCAAGTGGTGCGAAGCTATTATGCTAGCTTCCTGGCAACTGAGCCACTGTTGCTTCTTGTGGTGGATGGGAAGACAGTGGGGAGGTTGATGTGGTGCAAAAGCACCGCAGGGTCCAATCTCCTGCCATTGCAGGAGTACCACACTAACCGTTACACAATGTAGTATTTCATTCATGCAAGTCACTGCTTGATCCAGCCCTTAGCTGCCTGCTTTAAGTGAGATTGGGTAAAGCTGTAAGGCAAAAAAGGCAAAGGACCCCTGACAGTTAAGTCCAGTCGCGAACGACTCTGGGGTTGCAGCGCTCATCTCGCTTTATTGGCCGAGGGAGCCGACGTTTGTCCACAGTCAGTATTTCCAGGTCATGTGGCCAGCATGACTAAGCCGCTTCTGGTGAAACCAGAGCAGTGCATGGAAATGCCATCTACCTTC